TTTTTAATGGTCATAATTCCAGAAATTTTAATTGGAATCAGCTCAAACTTTCTCCACAGCATAAGGACATCAATATGTATCAGAAAATGTAATAAAAATTGGGGGTGATTTCAAAGCCATTTTTCGGAAAAAACCATGGGCTATAGTACAGGGTACTTTTCAGAAATTGGTTATTTTTTAAAATGGTCATAACTCAAGAAATTTTAATCGGAATCAGCTCAAACTTTCTACACAGCATAAGGATATCAATATGTATCAGAAAATGTAATAAAAATTGGGGGTGATTTCAGAGCCATTTTTCGGAAAAAACCATGGGCTATAGTACAGGGTACTTTTCAGAAATTGGTTATTTTTAAAATGGTCATAACTCAAGAAATTTTAATCGGAATCAGCTCAAACTTTCTACACAGCATAAGGATATCAATATGTATCAGAAAATGTAATAAAAATTGGGGGTGATTTCGGAGCCATTTTTCGGAAAAAACCATGGGTACAGGGAATTTTTCAGAAATTGGCTCATTTTAAAAATGGTCATAACTCGAGAAATTTTAATCGGAATCAGCTCAAACTTTCTCCACAGCATAAGGACATCAATATGCGCATGTTCATTAAAATTTGGTCAAATTATATGCACAAAAAATAAATATTTCTAAAAATAATAAATGCAATTAAATGCAAACATGGACTTGATCTCGACCTTCTCTCCAAGCGACAGTCATTGTTGTTTGCACTTTTGGCTGAGAGGATTGGCAAGAGGGAAAAGTCAACATGAAATAATAAGGACATTCTCACACTGCTAACGATATCCTTCTATACCAATAACAAGACATAATTGAGATATTGAGCTATTTCCTTCCTTTACTAAACTGCCAAAATTAATTCAATATTATTACCCGTTACGTCTAGCGTGTTATATTACATCTGAAAAGGACGCAGACATTGCGTCTTGTGCTGATTTAATTACTCAAGCCATCAAACAGAAAGTCTCTGTATCATCTTTGGCAAAAGAATGATCATTAATTTAACGATAATAATTCTTGATTATATATAATTAATTAAATACAGCAAAATAATTATAAAATAAAACAATCAGGGCTTTAGCCCATCGGGAAAAATTAATGTAAAGCTCTTACGTTTCTTGGTAAGTGGAGGGAGAAAGGGAGGAGGAGGGAGGGGTGTGGTCACTTTCTTCAAGTCCATGATTGCTGTGGTCGTGTGGAGTTACAGTGTCCAAGTGCATACCGATGGCTAGTTCTAGATTACCAGAACATGCTTCCAAGAGGCTCCTTGCAATTTCTGCCGAGGCTCCTGTCAAATTCATAAAATCTTGAACACTCTTGTCCGCCATCTTTTAAAAGGGCGTGTCTAGCGTTTATGGCTGACACGCCTATCAACCACGTGGTTAAAGTATACCAGAACGTAATTTATCCGTATATTTAATCCACGTGCGTTCACATGTTATCAGATAAATCATCAAAGCAAATTTTGTATTTTAGAACGGCAAAGCAATAAAAATAATTAATAATAAAAGCAAAATGTATAATTTTAATAATAATCATGATGGGTAAATGTATTATAATGTTCTTGTGTATAATTAATTTATAGCTCAATGTCAACTGGCATGCTATCTAATGGTTTACCGTTCCACATCAAGTTAACACTATAAGTGTCGTGGGAATTGATCAGAAAATCAACTAAGCAGCTCTCATCACCTTTCTCAGCTTTCTTGGACGATGTAGGCTTGGTTGGAGTGGAAATAGCCTCAAAGCTAGTCGATAGTTTTATAGGAACGGCGCCCGTCTTCTTGCCAGAGACAGTAGCAGACAATAAACCAACTTTACCATCCGACGAACAGTAGGGTATGCTATCAACCAGCGCCTCGCTGGACTCATTCTCTGCTCCTAATAAATCAATCTCGAAAGGCGAGCCAGCTATCTCCACGTCGAACCAGTAGACGTGCAGATCGAAGACATCCGGTCGACTCGGAGAAAAACTAATCTGGTACTTTCCTCTCTCGTATTGGACGACTGTAGCCTCCTGTCGGCCAATGTTCCTCCCGTACACTGCCGCCCCCATCAACCCTCGCAGGTTCATGTCCGGCTCAAACTGGACGCACACGGGAGGCGATGAAACCTGCTCTTTGTAGAGGACACGGAACGGTGAGCCATTCACATGTTTATCGGCATACAAGACTGTCACCATGAAAGTATCACTGGTGCGAGGTATAAATGAAACCCTATATACTTCATCATTGACTTGCTCAACATACAGTGGTATGGTAAGGCCTTTAGAATTAACGGCGGAAGCAGAGAGTCTCCCTTCGCCAGCCTGCGTTACATCAAACACCAATTCAAGGGGTTGGCTTGAGCGCAATGGTATAACTGGATCAAACATGGCTACCTTGCTAGAGCGCGTGGGCGAGTGGATGGAGACAATGAAAGGAGATCCCTTGAGATGAGTCTCTTTGTAGGTTATCGAAACTTTATAATCATCATTCCTTGTTGCACGCATCATCAATGTGTATTTGCCCATGCCATCATACTCAACGCCTGTTTGAGCTCTATTGGATTGGTCGCTCTTTCCAACGGCTGATATCTGAAGGAGAGAGGGGTCTTCAGTGCCAGGTGAGTGCACGTTGAACTCTATATTCTTATTCAGTTGGTAGGCATTGCCACGGACAGGGACTGCTTTGATGAGTGTGAAATCATCAATGGACCATACTCTAGCAGCACTGAACTCCATTGGGTTAGAAAGGCAAGGGACTTTATTGTAGAATACCTCAAGGCTATAAGCTCCTTCTGTCTTTGGAGTGTAAAACAGAGTATAGCGGTGACTCTCAATCCTCTGTATTCTACCTTGATCGCTCGTACCGTTAGGTGTTCTAATGCTAACACTCAAAGTCCCCTCGCCTGCACCAGCTGTACTAATAGGCAGTGACAGTACCTGGTTTAATGGCAGCTCCTGCCCGTGAAGAGATGAGCCATCAATCTTAACAGCTTTAGGATCAGAAACGTGTACAACCACCGGAGACTGTGGTATCTCTTCACCGCCATACTGGAGTACTAGCGAGTGATTGCCCACGCTAGCAGGAACTGCAGTGACAGTGTACACAGAGCCGGTTTTACTCAGAGAACACGAATGCTCTGATTTAGGACTAACAAGCATTGCCCTCAACTCCCCATAACCAGCTTTACCAGTATCAATGCTAATACTGATCTCCTCACCAAGGATGCAGCTCTTGTTTGGATAACTAACAACAGTGCAGGCTTCAGGGCAGAAAGGGACAGGAGGAGTGATGCTAAAAGGACTGCCTCTTATGTGTCGACCGGCCCAAGTAATGTCAAGCGTATAAGTACCAGGGCTGGGTAGAGTGTATGAATAAGTGAAAATACCGTCTTTCGTAGATACCAATTGAAAGTCTTGAGGTTGAGGAGAACCTGTAAACGTTGCTTGCAGGGATCCTGGGCCACCTCCTGAGGTGTCGATTTGAAACGTCATCTCTTGACCAATCAAAAGGGAGCTTGGGTCTAAGCCACGCCCACTAGGAATGCATGCATTAGGATCAGTGACCTTGCAAAAGAACGGACTATTCGCAACGTCTTTTTCACCAAATAAAACACAGACAGTGTACTCGCCGACAGAAGGTGGAACGAAACTTATTTTAAAAACGTTAGATCTGATCTGAGACCCATCAGCGTCAAGGTTCTCTCCTTTCTCGTCCTCAATGATAATCTCCAGACGGCCCCGCCCAGCTTTTGTGCAATCCACTGAAAACGTTATCGGCTCATTGACCACACCTCCAGACTTCAACTGAGACCCCTCGACAATGCAGTAATTGGGGAACGAGAGAGGGAGTGGCTTATTCTGAGAGTCTATAATGTCATCCTGTGGAGTGGGGGAGTGAGAGAGATCGGGTGATGGAGTCTTTGAGGATGTTGTACATTCAGAGGGAGGCTCTGGTGTTGTGGTGGTACTACGAGGCCCGCCCCCTAACCCCTCCTCTTGGTCCATGTCTTTCTCTTCGCTCTCTTCTCTTGGATCATTAACATAGGCTACTTCGATGATATCTGGTTCATCAAGTCCGCCGTCTTCTTTGGGATCTTCTCTTTCCTTAACTTCTCCTTCCTTGTCGGCTTCTACCCATTTCAGTTCATCATCATCAAACACTGATATATCACTGGTGGTCTTAACCTGACTGCCACTGCCTGTTGTCAAGCTGGTGGTTTCTTCATTCTTTGGCTCTTGTTTAATTTCCTTTTGATTTGAGAGGTTCCCTCCTCCTTCTCTCCCTTCTTTATCAAGTAGCGGCTGACTACCAAATGAAGAATTTTCGTCATCACCCGAGCTGAAATCAAAGTCCAGCGAAAGTTTTTCTTCTTCCTGAGGTAGAGAGGAGGTGGAGGGAGTGAGTCGAGGAATGCTACCACGACTCGGCCGGTTACTAAACGATATGTTATCAATTTCGCTGAGGACTTGATCAAAGCCTAGTTCTGCTTCAGCAAGGAGCTCGTCTAGCTGTGACTTACGTTGTTCTCTCAGTCTCCGAGCGCCATCACTGTTTCTTACCCAAGTCCTCAGCTTTATGTCAGCATCAAACGTGTCCCTCTCTTCCTCCTCTTGTCGGTCGTTTGAGGTTCCTACATGTTCTTGTAGACTCTTTCTTTCCAAATACGTCTTCAACCCTTCCCTCTCTTCTTTCTTTGCTTCTTCTTCCATCACCAAGTCTTTATGAATATCATTACTGTCCGTGTGGCTCCCATGAATCTGAAGCTCAAACTTGTCATGGCCAATATCGCCACCCAAAGGGGGAGAGTCGGGAACCTCTGGTGGACTACTGCCGGTAAATTCAGCTTGTGCCGACTCAGTGAAATCTGATGAGAGTGTGGAAACGCTCGTGGGAGCAACAGCAACAGCTTCGTCACTTGATAGAGACTGAAGTGTAGCTCTCTCATCATCAAGCGACCTTTTATTGCTCCTCCTTCTCTTTCCTCCAGGAGCAGTCTGGCAGTTTAAAAACTGAATCAAGTATCCCATCCTCAGTATCTCCTCCGTGTCTTTGGATACAAACTGCCCTGGGGCTATGAGCTGCTTGATTCCTAGCTCGTCTTCAGCCGATTTCATCAAAAACTGAACTCGATCAATGGGAGGAATTTTGACTTCATCTTCATCTTCCTCGCCCTCGTCCATGGTCCCCGGTAGATAAACATTGACTAGTGAGGTCAGAGCCGACCCGTCAAACCAGTCAGATGTGAAATTGATGATGGAATGTTCTGGGATAAGGCAATTGACCCAGTCAACAAGATAGCTATGACAAGGTGAATCGGGTGAGCAGTAATAAGAGAGGTACTGGAGTATTGGGCCTAGTTTACCAGCTGCAATATCATTAGGACTAACAACCTAAAGGAGAAATGAAAAATAAAATACAACTTATATTTTTAATAATATTATTGGTACCTTTGGTATTTGGAAGTACTTATTAGCAGCTTGCATTGCAGACTGTATGTTTCCGGTGGCATTTGCTGGATCAAGTTGAGACACATTGCCAAGGATACCAGGGCTGAGCCTGTCCAGGAGGAGAGAGAGGGCAATACCGTCAGACCAACTAGTGGTGAGGTTAGTGATAGTAGCTTCTGGTAGAAACAACTAATAAAAATATATAAATATTGATAAATGACAGTAACAAGGCAATGGGTAAAGAGGCTAATACAGTATATGAATTACAAATATACAATTATCTTTTATAGTATACCTGAAACCACAGTAGCATTGACTCAGGAGAGAAACCCCTTTTACTATCAGACTGAGGTAGTGGGTAGTGATTTGCCAGCTGTTGCAAGAGGCCTAATGTTAACTTCAAATTGCCATCAACTATATCAGCTGGCTCTATATAGAAACAGAGAAATAATAAGAGGGAGATTAAGTATATTTGCCATATGTATTTTAGAGTGTAAAGCCATCATCTATTAAGTACATAAAGCGTGTTACAACTTACAAATATATGCAGTAACATACACATCTTCATACTATATGTCACTGGATGTGTGTGCCAATACAACTAACCAATGTTTAGGAGTTGGAGCCCTTCTCTCTTCATGCACTCAAATGCAATCTGGACATTTTCTAATTTGAGTAGCCTCAATCTTGGAGATTTATGATATCTGGTAAGAAAATAAGAAATGTAATAAAAGTACCTTATCAACATTCCTATCTAGTATCAAAGGGGTGGTTAGACCTGGGTCACAGCTGCAAGCCAAACACCACAAGTCATGAATATGGCCCACCAAACAAAGCAAACACCTCCAGAACATGAATACCATTACCATCCTGTTGTAGTCTTGCCCTAATGGCTGGGCTGCCTCATTCCGGTTTTCAAACTAGCTATTTGTCAGTTTAGAGGCTCTTAATTACGTGTGTAACTAGTTGACACAATCTACTCACTGATTCCTCCCACATCAGTCTGCATGTAAACTGTTACAAGACACACAAATAGATCTATGCTCATTTACTGTAACTAAAACATGCTCATTTACACAGTCCATAGACTATAAGTAACCTCTAGACTCACTACAAATCATTTCTTTCAATTCTCCCCTACACTCCCCCCTCTCTCTCTCCCTTACCTAATAAACTGTATTGATTCAGGTGCTACTGTTTTCATCAACTGAATAAGCACCAGTCCATCCTTTAGCCCATTTCGTATATCAGTAATTGAGGTTTGGTGTTCGGAGGATTTCAAGTGGCCGTTAATCCAGCTGGTGAATGCTTTCTCTTGATCTTTGATCCAGTCAGACTTGTTCTCAGTGTTAGAATCAGACGCTCTGGATTGGAACAATAGTAGAAACATGATAGGTTGTACGTAATTGTCGGTAATTAGGTTAGCAATGCAAAATGTAGTGAATGTCTAACAGATTATTGAATAAGTAGCTCTACGTCAGTTATTAGGGACATCAGACTACAAAAGTCATGCTTTAATTGCTATTAGCAAATTAATTAAAACTAATCTGCTCTTTATTCGAAAATGCTTTGTATTGCATTCTTTGATGACGATATCTAACCAGGCACCAAATTAAGGACATTTTCAATCACAGAGGCACAGTGCTACTGTATTTTCAGAGAGCATGGGATATTCACAAATGCTTAGCTGTTCCTGTTAATCTCGTTATGAGCTTACTTCCTAGTTCTGGTGGGATTAGTCTCTGGTCTTGAGCTCAGCAGTGAGAATACATCGCCACTGTTCAGTCTTGATCTTCTTTGCTCTCCATTCATTGTTCTTTACAAGCACTCTCTCTCTCTCTATGGAGAAACAAGTCTATTCCAATGGGACCCTACAACAATTAAACAATAAACAACATGAAATACTAACAATAATGATTTATACAGTGAATCAGTAACACTGATTATGTATCAAAAAGTCTACTGTTACTGCATGCGCAAATACTTCGTGTATGTAATTGCAATGGGCTCAAGGAATCTTAATCATAATTCCAACTATTAGCACCCCAAGGGTTGCTTTGATCTTTGATAAGAATCTCCTGTACATTCCCTCCAAGAGAGATGCTGCAAGATACTAATAAATAATGGTCTATCCTTAATTTTGTAATAGGCCTCAATTAATAGTTTAATCAGTTCACGTTTATATGGCAGTCGTTCCTAATGGAGCATGGATAACATCTCTACTCCCACCATTTAGGCTGAAACCTCTCAGTCAGCAAGGCTGGATAATTATACATAATATTAGCATGCAATTCGATTCCTGCATCTCTCACTACTGCAAAATGCATTTTGCTTCATTAATGGCTAAACTTCAAGTGCTAATAAACAAGCAAATGCTGGACTGAAGTGTTAACAGACTAGGAGCCAACAGCTGTCAAGACACCACAGTATCCACGAAATCAAGAGTACAATGTAAATATAATATATCAATTTCAAAAACTGTTTAATAGAAGCGCTGAGGCTCTCTGTCTCACCTTAAATGTGTAGCACTAGTAAAGGTCCTTGTAGAACTATATCTGCCTCTTGTTGGCTGCTACTCTACAACAGATTGTTCAGAAGAGGAAGAGAGAATGATGAAAGTTGCAAATTCCAGCAGAATTAATGATTTTTGTCAAAGCTTGCGAGGGCGTGGTTTTGCAATAAAATTGAGGGGCGTAGCGATAGCTCGTTCTTAAGAAGGTGTGGCTGCACTCGCTGCTCAGCATGGCTGCTCAATCAACAGCAAAACAAGTTCTTCTCTATCAAAATACTGTCACCAAGCCTCTTTTTTTCCTCTTTATAACTGTGGCATCTGGAATTCAGTATACATTCTGGTCCTATCTTGCCTTAGAAGCCTTTAAAGACTATCAACAGAAACCGCCTGAGAAGCATTCTGACAAGCAGAAGGAGGAGGCGGAGTCTGGCTCCACTCAGGGCACTGCAAAGAGAGCTTTATTTGAGTCCATTAAAGAGAAAGCCTCTTCGGGAAAGTGGCGTCTCGGAGTCACTCTTCTAGCACTGACATTTGGCAGTTTATTTGCATTCACTTCAGTGATTTATCCACGACGTACCATTAATAAGGTGATGTATAGTCATAGCAAACAGGCATTGGAGATCACCACGTACACACCTCTTGGAGGACTAACCAGTAAAGAGGTAATATTTACCGTTTTTACTGAATTAGCAGCATGCCTCGTATGATATGGCTTTTACTAACTTTTAAAATTTGCAAAAAAATCCAATTTTGATTGAAATCAGCTCAAACTTGCTACATAACATGAGAATATGTATATATGTATTAGGAAATATATAAAAAGGGAGAGATCTCTCATAGTCATTTTGACAAAATTTGGCCAAAATCCCTGTACATGGTCATCTGCCAGTTTTAATGTCAAGTCATTGTCTCTTAGGTCCCATGTCTGTCTGTTTGGAGAAAAGGAAGCGCTCAATCGAGTCATGTGTCACTTAAAGTGAAGGGAGACATATTCTATTATCTGTTGGGTGAAAAGAATGGAAAATTCCACAATCCAAAAATGTTTGATATGATTATTGGAACTAGAAGATGAATCACTCACCCTTGTACTGTACATTCATATTGTATAATACCAATGTTAAATAAAGTTATTTGAATGAATGCAATAGTCTCTAACAGTCTCTAACAATTTTTGGTCTGCACTGTAGAGAATTTACTTAAGTCACAGTCAATAATAAACAATAGTATCAATAATAACAACAATACACAATTAATAACAATATTAAATAATAATAATAATGATAATAATTACAAGACAAAATATGAGTTTAAAAATGTCGTCGTGCTACAAGTAAAAAAGATAATAATTATAATAGTATTATAATAGTAATAATAATAATAATAATAATAATAATAATAGATTCACTACCTACGGCCACCACCACTAATCAATACACACACTCTCTTAAACAGAAACTGTATCAAGTAATCCTCTAATACATCCAGTTACTCTAACAGGATCCTTATATTCTAATATCTCACCAGCTGAACACACCTATAATGAATATACACACACCAAAAATTAAAAAAAATAATATTTTTATCATTTTAATATTTTTATCATTTTAATAGCATACAATAGTTTCTTCTACGCCCAATTTCTTGCAAGCAGCGAGAAATGCAGCAACATTCATAGTTTGTTTTGGTGCTGATAGTGGCTGGAGAGAGAAAAATAAATGTAGTACAAGGTACAATAGATCAAGTATTTTACTTCTGTTCCTTTTGGTTCGTGAATGGTTGAGATTGTGCTTGGATGCAGTTTATTGACAAGGTGACAGAGCAAGACCCCGTCAGATATGCTCTCGCCTAAATCATCAGCAAGCTTAGTACCTAATAGCTCCTCAATGTCCTACGAAAAAAAATTACTGAGACCAAGAAATACCATAATGATAATTAAAACAAATTGTTAGCACGATTGCAAAATAATACCAATTTTAACTTCGTGTACATGTACAACTAACTCTTGCTCACTTACTTTCTTCACGCTTTGTATCTTCTCCATTTCTTGCTGCATGTTTGCTTGCTGTCGACGTACGGTAAAGTTTGGGTCTTGTTTCCCAATGACCTTAAAGACGTCCTTCTTTCTCTTCTGAGGCCCACCCTGGCCTTTCTGTCTTGGCCATGTTGTACTGGTATCTTTAGCTAAAGAAAGAGAAAGAAGTATACATGTACATGTACACAAGGTGACATAGTGTTCAGTATCACAGAGATTTTTTACAAATTTATAAGTTGCTTTAAAATTTGACAATGAAGTCTTTGGCTAAAAAATCATGAAAAATCGCAAAGTGAGAATTCTTCATTTTTATAATTTTTTCTAATGCATATACACGTTCTTATGTTGTGTAGCAAGTTTGAACTGATTCCAATCAAAATTAGATTTTTTACGAATTTTTTAAGTTGCTCTAAAATCTGGCGAAAGTCCCTGTACTATAGTACAGTGTCATTGGCCAAATTTCACCAAAAATGACTAGGAAAGAATTCTCCATTTTTATAATTTTTTCTGATGCATATACATGTTCTTATGTTGTGTAGAAAGTTTGAACTGATTCCGATCAAAACCTGATTTTTTATGAATTTTTAAAATTCCTCCAAAAGCCATATACAATGTACCTTGTCAGCTCATGAAGCATGCTGCATACAATGCTTTCTGCATGCATTCAAGAATTGAAGTAAGCAGAAAGAATACATGCAAATAGAACAATTCATTACTTTTAGGTTTAGGTGGCGGCTCGGGTCCTTTAGGTTTCTCAGAGTGAGTAGGAGAGATGGGAGAGAGAGGAGAAGGGGGAGGTTCCCCTTCCATATCCTCCACAGCTACATCATCAGAGGTGACTGAGGGAGACAGCGATTGGTCCCTACCCTCGGAAATGTCATCCTCTGAGGATAATGACGGTATGGTATCACGAGGAATCTCAGAGACGTTAACTGAGAACGATACCTGTATGGTAATAAAGAGACCAATATAAGATTAGAGTGGGTTTAAAGTAATGGGAACTTACTTGTTTACCGGCTGATTGATGCTGTGGTGTGTTACAAGAAGCTATCAATAAAATAAGTAATAATAATTAATAATAATAATAATGAAATTGGCATATTACAAAGTTATATTGTATGTAGATGTACATCTTCAAAACTCAAAAAATATCATGTTGATAATACACAATTGTAGATTATAAAATGAGTATACTCGTACCTGTACTTGTGTTTGCTGCCTGTAGATCAAATGATGAGAGCTTGTATTTCTTGTCTATCTCTAGTGCGAGTGAGCTCTCTCCCATCTTGTTTAACGCCACAAGGACTTCACTCCAAGTGTAGGTTGGATTATCCTCGAGCCATTTCTGAAACAGATCATGACAAGATGAAGGCTCTTCTATTGACACTCCAAGGGAACTGGCTAGTCCCTCCAGATCTGATATTGAACCTAACTCTTGTGTCATCTCTTCAAGCTTTGGTCTAGGATATTCTAAAAAAATTAGTCACGTAAGATATATCATTAATTAAGCATAATACATGTACATATAGTATTGCTTCAAATTTCAACATTCCAGCTTAAAATTTTTTGTTTAGATAAATTTTAGTATTATAAACCATGCATAGACTAAAGTAGTTCATTAATGCTGTGTGTGCTTACGGGATTTGGCCTCTTTAGGTGTCGAGGGCTCCTCTTGATCAAGATCCTCAGGAGTGGGCGTGACACTTCCCTCACGAGACGGAGGAGTGTTGGGACGATCCCCTCCTCCCCTATCATCTTCCTTCTCTTCAGATGAGTCTATCAGTAAACACACGCACAGTAAGACATTATAAAGTATATATATCCATTATTAACAACAGACAACTGGTAATGGTAGCAGATCAGCTCTAGGAGTCGGTCGGTGATAACGTTAACTCATTGCAAGATAGGAGGAGAGGGAGGGTTGGACGGAAATGTGACACTCATTTATTTCATGAGATAAGGTTTCAACAAAAATCCAAAGAATGTGAAACAGCAACCAAAGAGCAGCATATCATCTCCTCCATTACACCACACTTAGAGAGAGAAAAGTGGTATGCGTTATCATGCATATGTAGCCCGTACTATATTTATTTGTTTATTTTTTTAATCATGCAACCATTACCAGTTGTCAACATCAAATAAAATCACACGTACAATGCACTACACATCTCTCACTAAACAAAAGCTATGGCCCTATACAGCGTCACATGAGTTGTCTAACGAAGGGCACACTACATATACATGTTCCAATGCATCAGGCACCAGAAATAAACAACAACCATTATTATTATTATTATTATTATTATTATTATTATTATTTATTGTGTTGCTAAGTGAGAGATGTAAGCGTGTGATGTTATTATCCATTGGCAAAAGGAAATGGCCTGTACGGACAAGAGGGCAGAGTGCATTTGCTTTCAGAAATGACATCATTTCATTATTATTATAATAATTATTCTTTTCTCTTTTTAAAGCGGGCGGTTGCATTGGAACAGCATGTGTCCGCGTGGACGTGCATGCCCTCCGTATGACAATCATGTGACGATCGATAGACTATATAATGACAAATCAATAAATTGACAATACTTTTAAAAGAGTGAACACAAACACACTAATACTAGCAAACGCCAGGTTATCAAACTTGAGAAATTAAAATGGTCCAAAAAAGTGTGAGAGGCTCACTGTGTAAGCCAATACTCACATATAAAAGACACTGTATCGTATATAAATGAGACACATACAAGCGGAAAGAAAAATACAAAAATTATAATATTATGCTATTGATGTATGACTATCATACAGAGCAAAAAAGGTGCAGCTAAAGCTAGCAAATAATAATTAAAAAATAATAATAATAAATGAAAAGAGGACACAAGTAGGGTAAATGAGACAGGGTTGGCTATGATAATAATAATTATAATCATATATTTTTAAATTTATGTATAATATGTTAACTGCTGTTATCATTATCATTATTATTATTATTAAACATCAGAACCAAGATGAGATGATTTATTAAGGTAAGGATATGAATACTGATGAAACTGTTGGTGTAAAGGTGGGGTAGGATTATACTGACCATAATGGTGTCTGGAATGATGATGATCTGGAGTGGAGGAGCCTTGAGGCTAAGAGAGAAGAAGGAGAAAGAAATCAAAAAGGTAATTCAAACACACAATGTACATGTTATATTCATTATCTACTCTACAATATTCTACTCACAATGTAATCAACTGGTTTTCCAGGAGGATATAGCTTATCTCTATCTGATGAAGAGCTAAACAATAACACAAAAATAAAAAATGACTATAAACATTGTACATTGTATAACACGCATCTACTAATTAAAGAATTAAATGCTCCATGTACATGTACATGTACAGGCTTTAAAGCCCTACCTGTTTGGTTCGGACGAGTGAGCTCTCAATACTCTATCAGGAAACACAGGACTGGATATCCTGTTATGAGCCGAGGTGCTTGCCACCGTTGACCTCCTATAAGATACTTCCTCTGTCTCTATGGTAACCTCCGCCCCTCCCCCTCCCCCTCTGTTAGTCCGTGGTAGAGTCCCATAATGAGAGCCTGACTGACTGCTGTTGACAGCTGGCTGCTGCTGCTGTTGCTGCTGAGACTTTGAGAGAAAGAGAGAGGATTGTTAAAAGTGGGTGATATCAAAATGTGGAGTTACATTTCTTCCGGATGGACCAGGTGATTGTGATCTGTAATTATACCGAGCTAATTGCTCTTCCTTCATCTTAACGTTACGATACGGCTATAAGAGACACGTGTGAACAAAGAGAGAGAGAGAGAGAGAGAGAGTCAGAGATCAAATCAAGAGAGAGCAAGTTGGACACAACATAGAATACATAACCAATACACTTACACTTCTCTCCTCATAAGAATAATTTGAATAATACTTTAGAGCATTCCCACCTCTTGGGGCAGCACCCTATCCAGAAAAATACATCAAATACAATGTAATCAGTAAATTAATACACAAAAAACACACACATACAGACATTACTAACTGTCATTACATGTACAAATGATCCATATCCTATGCTATACTCATGTACATGTACTTACAAATTAAGATACACACGTATACAATGTATGCCACACATACAATACAATGATAATTGCTTTATTTTTGAGTGCATAATTGATCCAGTTATGATGACAAGTTGTACAAATAAAACGTATAAAAGTACAAGGGAATGAGTGAACGAACAGATTTTATGGGTGTCAATTCAGTAAATTCTAGTATACTAGCTATACGTGTACAATGAATATGTCATTGCTTACGGTGGATAGTGACATCCCGTCTGATCCAAAAGCTGACTGAACAAGATTAGTCATCTCATCTACAAAGCTTCTCTCACCGCTGGATAAGAAATAAAGAGAGAGAGAGAGGGAGAGAAATAAAGGAGATCGAGATAGAGAGAGATATTGAATTACAAAGATATATAATCATAAACACTTACAAATCTGATCCACTCCCACTGAGTGTGGATGCATCAGATATCGGTCTCGAAGCCTTTTTGATTTTATTTCTCTTTCTGAGTAAGCTCTCATCCCTACCCTGTATGTGCATTGTATCATCTATAATGTTCATTCATTGTTTAATCTCAATTACCATTGAGACTTGATCACCGCCATATTTCTCTATCTCCTGAAGGAACTTGAAAACATGATTAATACCCCGAATACAAGTCTATTAAATAAGATACATGTACAATAATAGTTTCATTGTATTGTGTATGTGTACATGTATATGTACTGTACATACTGCTTGATGTGTATATGCAATGAGTGCAAATTGAAAGATAAACATGTATACAAGCAACACTGTACATGTGAATGTAATATATGCTTCATTCAAGCCTTTGACTCAATTACAACTTCCAAGAAAACAAAATTTCATATGAATAGATGATATATGTTGTGTGTGTACCTGAGCTGGAGGCCATTCCAGTGGATTGTCCTGACAGTGGAAGACAGTGAGTGTATTTAAATATCTTAGACTAGGAGGAAGACGAGTTAACATGTTAGCAGAAACATCAAGAAAGGAGAGAGGAACTTTGTGAAGACCTAATGAGAGAGAGAGAGAGAGAGAGAGAGAGGGAGAGGGCATTATAGATAATGAATGCATGTAGCTTCATTCTTACCATCTGGTAATGTCCTTATTTCATTTCTTCTTATGTTTAAATGCGTCAGTGATAACATGTCAACAATAGAACTTGGTAAATCAACCAAATCATTACAACTGACATCCTAAAACAAATAAAATTCAATGAGTAGGTGATAAGAATAGCTTTTAATTACTCACAGATATGTACATGTATGTGTATGTACACACACAGTACAAACTTAAAGAGATTAAGACATGTGTCCTTCACTTACTAAGTTTTTCAATGACTTCATTTTCCCAATATCTGAAGGTAAATCAGTCAATCTGTTATTATTAGCTGCCAGCAGTGTTAACTTTCCCATTGAGACTATTGATGCTGGTAAGGCTTGAATGAAATTTCGACTAGAGAAGAGAGAGAGAGAGAGAGAGAGAGAGAGAGAGAGAGAGAAAGAGAGAGAGAGAGAGAGAAGGCCCTAAGGGAAAGCAGCAGGTGTATTGTCCATGTACGTGTATGTGTACATGTCTACATCATGTCCGATGATCAGAAACACAAAATTAAATGGTTGCCAAAATTAACTTGGCATAGAGAATCACAACAAAATAAATGCATCGGAGTAAAAGACAGACGCCCTTCGCTATCATTAACATTGTTATCATTACATGTAATTGTGGATTTTATATGACTATGTTTATTCAGACATTATGATAATTATACATAATGACTGAACAGTCATCATAAAGTACATACAACAATACAGGAGACCATTGTGTTGTACAGAGAGATTACAGGGACTGATGATAGGAGGATTATTATATCTACTAACATATACTAGTAAGCATGTATTTATACAATATATACAATAAACATGATAGCAGCATGTAGAAATGAAAAGTATTAAGCCTTTGCTCGATAAAACTAACATGAATATAAAGGTGCAAACACAATGACAATATAGTCAGGATTTATACCTAATGTACAGCTCTTTTAGTTCACAGTATCTGATGATTTCCTCTGGTATTGATCTCAGCGAATTATTGTGAAGGTTGAGCGAAACGAGATTCTCACATCTGAGGAGTTGCTTTGGAAACTTGTCAAACCTGTTACCAGAGACAACTGAGAAAGAGAAAGACAGAGAGAAGTGTGAACAGCACATAAGTGTGTGTACAAACAGAGAGAGGGGGAGGAGAATAAAAGAAAGAAATTAAAGAATCGGTCAAAAATGAAAATGCAACTCCAGCCATGCTCTCAATTACCACAAACCACCCATCTTTAGTACAAATACATGTATACACGTACATATGTACATGTACATTATGTTCATGTAATGTACTACTATTTCTCATACAAGATTATGTGCTCATGAATTGCATTTTTCAATCAAAGAAACATGTGCATGTACATCTAATGTAATTATAAAAAAAAGACAAAACACCAGACCCTTAATGAGATAAGATCCACATACCAAACAAACATAAATTTCTGTAGTACCACCACACAACCCAACCAAAATCCTCCATTGTTAATTTCTTAGCCACTCAGTGAGAGGATAATATCAAACTCACCTGCTGTGAATATCTCCAACGGATCGTACACATCGTCTCCTATATTCGGAAAGAGCCTTAGTTTTCTGGCCGATATATCAAGAATCCCACTGTAGTCGGCCTCTTCGAATTCCTTGTCTATCGGGCGGTGCTGCCGCTCGATGGCCATAGAGAGAAGGCTAAATAAAGGCAAATAATAAAGATACAGGATCTATCTGCTCTCCTCCATACCTCCTGTGAATCTCTCTCTCTTTTTCCTAATGAGAAGACACTTCCTCAATATGGAGGGGGAAGCGGTCTAATGGAGGCCAGCCTACCATTCATTGGGGACCACTGCGCATGCTCAGAAGCAACTGCCGCCAAACATGTCCGCCAAATTAAGGTTTCTAAGATAGCAGCTGTATAAGCAGCTAAGCCACAGGAGGCAATCCATGAAAACCAAAAAAAGGATAATAAGTATCTGGTTATTATTGTCAGCCGTGATGTACAAATTACTTATAATCAATGATGTTTCTTTAACTTAGTAAAAATTTCTTAAAGAAGAATAGTGAGTGTAATGCAACAACAATACACAAACTAAAAATAGTTTCAGGAGCTTTCCTCTAATGAAAGTAAGTAATCTTCATGAACATCTTGTAATGGCAATATTAGTGCTACTTTGTGAAACACTCTAAAATAAAATTTAAAAAAATTAAAGCAATATAAACATGAATAGTTTAGGCAAAATAATAATTATTATTATTTAACTTACTCGTGTGAATATTTGCTGCGTACAGTTGATGTGTTACCAGCAGGTCGACTGATGAGATCATTGAGTCTCTGAACCATAGGGAGTAGGTTTGATGCCTCATATTGACTGTAATGTTGTAATGTGGGGGTCTAATAGGAAAGGAATATTTAAGTTGGAAAAATGTACAATAAAAACACAATTAATTAGGTTTGGGAGCAACTTTAAAAATTTGTAAAAAATCAAATTTTGATGGGAATGAGCTCAAACTTGATATGCAACATAAGAACATGTATATGTATCAGAAAAAAATATATAAATGGAGAACTTTCTCCTAGTCATTTTTGGCTAAAGACCCTGTACCATAGTACAGGGACTTTGGCCCGATTTTGGAGTACCTTTAAAATTTTGTAAAAATCCAACTTTGATGAAACAAAAAATGCACATGTATTCAAAAATTCATAAAAATGAAAAATTCTCTCCTGAGTACATTGCTTTTAACATAAAATAAAATCATTCATTTCTCACCCATCCTCCCAATCCTTTCATCCTAATAGAGAGATACATTGCTGCCCCAGCAATGTGCGAAGGATCATCAGAGACAAACTCATACTCTTGGAGAGTGCTCTCACATATGTACCGAGCTAACGTGTGGGTCTCCATATCAGCACCAGCAGCCTAATAGCAAAATAAAACAATAATAACAATAAAGGCTCTACTATACTATAAATGAGCAAATGTGTATTTAAGTATACATCAGTGAATGAGTATTAGATGTAGATGTAATTGTACATACTCTAGCTAGTCTTCTAAGAAACCTGTAAGCTACAGGAGCATTGACATCATACTCAAGTGTTGCCAGTATGTTTCTCTCCATACTGAGTAGCTCATCGTGCTGGTAGGCATCGTCGCACAAATAAATAAAATCATCAACTAATGGTGGGCTCAGTTCCTGAAAGATTAAAAACATCAATTTTCAAACTCTCATAACTGGTTCCAAGTTATCAGTACCTCAAATTTAGCTGCTATAAGCATGGAAGTAGCTCCCACAAGCTGCAGGTACTCCTTCTTTACTTCTTTCTTCTCCAAGTATCTATCAACTATTTTTACAGCAAGGTAGAGCGTCTCGTGGAAAAGCTCAAAGTTTTCTTGTACTTCAACAAGCCAGTCAATAAGTATAGACCGCATGCTCGAGTTTATGAGAGGCTGATGATCAAGATATGAAGAAACTTTAAACTTCACCTAAAGGAGGGAGAGAGAAGAAAAAAAAATTATATGTACAATTGTAAATAAATTGATATTCACATACCTCCCTTTCTCTCATGTATTGGTAAATGTCAGGAGCGTATTCGGATGAGAAGAGTGGATCATGTGATTCAGCTACATAAAGAAAGAGGATGTTATACACATACATAACGTAATTATTTTTTATTTATCTTATACAGATAAGAATAACATGTACCACAAACAGTAAAGGTATGTGCGTACATGTACATGTTTAAACTATTATTAGAACAGATGTGAGGGCAAACAACAGTCCTTATTAATTATATTGTCTAGATGCATAAGATAAAATGTGTCAATGTCTCTATAGTGAATTATCAAGATTATCTATACACAATATGAGGCTTGCCTTCATCAATGTCCTTCCATAATTGAGATTCTTCAAGCTAAAGGAGTAGGATACATCAATCAACACCTTTCCTTAGAGATCTCTCTCTCTCTCTCTCTCTATTACCTTGTCATCCAGTGTAGTGGCTCTTAGCACATTCTGTACATCTGTCATAGGAGTAGTATCACTAGAGAAGAAGAAAGGGAGGGCAAGAGAGAGAGAGAAAAGGGCAGTGAAATAATGAAGGGTGAGCAAGTACAGTCTCACAGTGATTCTGAGCATATTAAAGAATCAGTCAAAGCTAAAGGCTCTTCAGGTATTGGAGATGACGAGTTCTTTCTTAATAATCTTTTTGATCTCCGAGGTGCCTGCTCATATAAGTCTTCATTGTCACTTATTGATGTCAACTCTTGTTTAGGTTTGATGGTAATATTCGTCGATACCTAAAGATCAAAGAGGCTGACACTATGAGAAGAAGGCTTTATAGCAATTAACAAAATATCATGAAATATTAAAAAGGTTGCCTTAGGGTAAGAGGGAGAGGAAAAAGAAAGAAAGGCGGTCACTGAAACTGCTATGCTTTCCAAGTTATCAAAAATAATGCTGCACCACTGCCAAAATTGTGAAGCATGCATGCTGGTTTTTAGTCAAACCACACCCTCCAATGTCCCATTCGAATCGAGTCGACAAACTCGACATAACAAACTCAAGCAAACTAATGTAGAAATGTCCCCCCATGTGTCTTAGACATTCAGAACAAAATGGCTACAAAAAGAGAGGCAAAAGCTAAATAGTTAGTCTTACATTTGTTACATTCCCAAGCGGGTTTCTCTTTGGTTCTGGGGGGTGGAAAGCAGTTGGACTCGAGTGCCTCTTGGTTGGATTAATAGCCAAAGCCTCAGACTCTATCTTCTACAAGAGAAAAGAAACTTAAACCAACTGACCAACAAATAAGTACTTTTAGTTTGGCAGCGTTCCTCCCGGCGTGAGAGTTCTCTTTTATGGCCTGCAGGGCCTTTAGGCTGGATGTTCTTTTTGCTCTTTCCATCTGTTAGTCAGTTGATGCCTGATGGCTCCAATAGGCTAATAGGGCATCTTTTGTATGAGACAAATTTTAACTTGCGCGGGATCCAATCAGATTGCAGCTCGGATCACGTGAACCCCGCCTAATTTAAATTAGCTGATTATTGTTGATTGTTTAATGTTATTGATATTTACATTATTGTTTATATTTACAAAATAGTGTTGTTTATGTGTTTTTGCTTTTGGCATCAAGTTTCCACCTCTGCCGTCTCTTTACTGTGCTTCTTTTTCTTCTTCTTATGAATGTTATCCTCAATCTATGTATATGCATTAAAATATTATTTTTAAAAATGACATTTCGTTCCAAACTGATACTCACTAAATCTTCATCTGATTGCGACTCTTTCTTATTCTTCTTCTTCTTCTTATGATGATGTTCTTCAGCCTATGATCAGAAAATCCACAGCTGCTTTATAGATCCAATAATTCAAACTAACTTCTTCGTCTGATTTCGAGTCTTTCTTCTTTTTCTTCTTCTTTTTCTCTTTCTTTCCTGCAGCCTCACTAGTTACAGAATCTGGTGAACACTACAACATGAAATACACAAAACAGAGAGAGAGAGAGAGACAGTATGTAGCAGCCGAAACAAAAACTGTCTTGAAATAATAAAAATCTTATTCAAGAAGCTTTTGAAAATGCACTCTTTGATGTGTTAATGGAGACATGAGGGAGGAAAATAATACAAAAATTAAGAGGAAAGAAAAGGAGGCAGGATACAAAGAGATAAGAGGTCAGTTACCTCAGTTTCCATTGGCTCTTCTTCTACAGGTGCACCAGCAGGAGGACTAACAGTTGTTGTAGCAACTGGGGGAGTTGGCCTGCAAGAAAGAGATATGAGATAATGAAAAGTTTGGTTTACAAGGCATGCATCATTATCAAGATATTGCAGCCATTAAGCAGGTAAAACTTACACTTTATTTTTCTCCTTGGAATATTTTGGTATTTCTCCGGCAGCTATCTTTTTCTTCTTCTCTAAAGCCTTTGTTGAAAAGAAACGCAATATTTAACAGTCGGGACAGTTGCTAAATCGACAAAAAAGACTCACTTTTGGTCCAAGTCCCCATTTCCTTGGATATACATCTCTACTCATAATAACACGCTTGATCTTGGCACAAGAATTATGATCACAAGTGACCATTTCTGCTGTTGATAATAAAGCAATGCCTACACATGCCATAATAAAGGAATACTAAATACTAAGTACTATAATGTCACTATAAGCAATGATGGTATGAAGATTTAGAGCACTAGATTAAGTGATAATGATTCTCAAGACTCACCTAATGCAACAGCTTCTCCTTTTGGAGTCATTATGACAATCTCCATCTTAGGCTCAATCCCCTCATCAAATCTCAGGACGCCAGGAAGCTGGACCTTAGCACCATAGCATATGGCATTAACCTTTCAAATAAAAGAGTAAATAATGTTAATGCACTAAAAGATGGTGACTCACAGCACTATCCTTGATGACTAGTCTCTTATGAGAGGTGAGCAAAGCTTCTAACGGTTTTACTACTTTCCTCAAGTAAGATTCTAATTTTTATAAAATATAACCAGAGAATAAGAATTTTGTAGGGTGAGTTTGTACCATCTTTCATGTTATCATATTGCCACTGTGCATCCAATACATCATGCATAGTTACCAGATCATCCTATAAATGTAAGGACAAGTAGGGGCATGAGCTTTCGTTTACATACATAAATTGACTCATTTTTTTAAATGGCCATAACTCAAAAAATTTCAGTCTGAATCAGCTCAAACTTTCTACAAGGCATAAGGACATCAATATGTATCAGAAAATGTAATAAAAATTGAGGTTGATTCCGGAGCCATTTTTTGGAAAAACCATGGGCTATAGTACAGGGTAATTTTTCGAAATTGGCTCATTCTTTAAAATGGTCATAACTTGAAAAATTTTAGTCGGAATCAGCTCAAACTTTCTACACAGCATAAGGACATCATATCTATCAGAAAATGTAATAAAAACTGGGGGTGATTTTAGAGCCATTTTTCGGAAAAAAGCATGGGCTATAGTACAGGGATTCTTTCAGAAATTGGCTCATTTTTAAAATGGCCATAATTCAGTCAAAACTTTAACAAATAAGTACATAGTAATACGATTATAATGAGTCTTTACGTTCTCAGACTGTATTCCAGACCTAACTCGTCTTAGCTCTGCCATATGAGCCCCAACACCAACCATAAGACCCAAATGAACACAGAGTGTACGTATATAAGTACCTGCCTCACAACTAACCCAAAAAACACCTTAAAAGAGAAGAGAAAGGAAGGAACAATAACAGAAAGCAAGAGAGGAATGGCATTAGTCAAAAATTAAAAAATCTACAATACCTAGATGTCTTTGGTCATCATATTCCAATAATTTATTCTCGTAGATGGTCCTAATTCTCAATTGTCTCTTGACAGCTGAAATAAGTGGAGGACGTTGAAAAAGTGAGCCAACCATTGTCTGGAGTATCTATTATATATATTATAATGATGGGCATGCATAGGAATGATGAAAATAATCCGTGGATCAATGAAGTATTAACTATTATACCTTTACAATGTCACTCTCTTTAGCTTCTTTGTGAAACTTCACCACACACACATACTCTTTACCTGTACAGCAAAGAAGAGATGAAGAGTGAGGTTATTATGCTGCTACATCACACACAGACACACACACACACACACGCACACACACACACACACACACACAAACACACCTGCTCCTTGTTGCGATTTTACTAGTCTTGTAGTTCTGTCAATGCAAACGATCAGACAGCCAGTGACCTGTGGATCCAGTGTGCCACTGTGGCCTGTCTTCTCCACACGCAATATCCTTTTTATCCATGCCACAACCTTAAGAAGGGAAAACGAGAATAACTCATTGGAAAAGTGACAGTATATAAAAAATAAAATAGTTGGCATAGGAGACCAAGTTTTTAGAAATATAAATAAAAAAATTATATTATTTATCAGTGCTCCATCAAATTTAAATAAACATATTATTATAACAAGCTCAGAAACCCAATCAACCCTCTTCCTTACTCCCTCCCTCTCTCATTTACTTCATGTGATGATGGGTTAGCTGGCTTATCAAGATTGATGAACCCATGTTTAACATAGTCCCCTATAGGACGTCGCAACGGAGGGCAGCCTGTTTCAAGAGGAGTGTAGTGTCCAGTGCGGACAACCATCTTGTGATAGTTCTATGAATAGGAATACACAGCATATGAATGGGTCTATTCAAAATCATAAATGCAATAGTTCATCGTAATAAGAAATAGTATTAATTTAAACTGCAGTATTATTGCAGGGTTAATTTGACTCACTTTTAAAAGGAGCGGCCATTCAGAGGTGTCAAGAGGAGGCGTTGATTGTGGTTTGATTATAAAATCCTGCTAAAAAATTACAATAAAATAATAAAATAAAAAATATATAGTAATACTTCGGATGAATCAGGTTCCTCGCTGCCTAATATAAAAATAATTATAATTAATTTTATCATCAATAATCATTATTATTTTTATCAAAATAAAAGACCTGCTTCTTGCGCTTCGATTAATTTTCTTTTCTTCGATTTCTTCTCCTCTGTCATCCTTCGTCTACTATTAATATTACCATCGAACAATTACTGATAGCTTTATTTTCACAGTTCCTTTTCTATGGAACGACCACGTGGAGTCGCGGCTTTGTGCTAATGTGCTTTAAGCGCATGCGCAGCTCTGAAAAAGGGCCTCTCCGTGTGGGTATCCATTGAGGACTCCATTGTACATATTACATCTTCTCCCATCGAGAAAGGTAAGTACATATACATGTAATGGGGAATGGATTTGAGTACTTTATCCTCTCCTTTGTAGGATGGGTAGGGTAATACGTGGACAGAGGAAGGGAAGAGGGAGTATATTCAAATCACACACTAAGCACAGAAAAGGACCAGCCAGACTGAGGGCTCTTGATTTTGCCGAGAGAAAAGGATACATCAAAGTATGTTAACATCAGTAATAGTTATAAGTAATAATGTAGAATATACCTTTAAATAATACATTATTATAATAGAGTGGAATAAGTATAATAATACATTAAATATATGCATGCTTGTTTCTTCTCCCCCAGGGTATAGTAAAGGATATCATTCATGATCCAGGACGAGGTGCTCCACTTGCTAGAGTGACGTTTAGAGATGCTTACAAGTATAGGCAGCATAAGGAACTGTTTGTTGCAACAGAAGGAATGTATACTGGCCAATTTGTGTACTGTGGAAAGAAAGGTAAGCGTATTTAAATAAGGACGCCATGACATACTTTACCTCTCGTCTGTAGCTCAATTATCAGTTGGTAATTGTCTTCCATTGGGAGTGATGCCTGAGGGTACTGTGGTGTGTCAGGTTGAAGAGAAACCAGGAGATAGGGGAAAGATTGCCAAAACATCAGGTACAATCAATCGTCAGAGTATTTGATGGTTCTTGTGCATTTCTTTCTATAGGTAACTATGCTACTGTTATTGCTCATAATCCGGACACCAAAAAGACACGTGTTAAACTTCCATCTGGCTCAAAGAAAGTAAGTCAACAAAGCATCAATAATCAAAACACATTTACTGGTACCAACATTGTGTACAGACCTTTCTCAGTAACTGTAGAGCTGTAGTGGGGATTGTTGCAGGAGGGGGCAGAATAGACAAGCCACTGCTAAAAGCAGGCAGTGCTTACCACAAGTATAAAGTGAAGAGGAACTGCTGGCCGAGAGTTAGAGGTGTTGCCATGAACGTAAGTCGTAATGAATGGCAGTCATTTTTCATAAGCAAAATACATTTATTGTGATTTCTCTGTAGCCTGTGGAGCATCCCCATGGAGGTGGTAACCATCAACATATTGGTAAACCCAGTACGGTGAAGAGAGGGACTCCAGCTGGTCGTAAGGTTGGTCTTATTGCTGCTAGACGCACAGGACGATTGAGAGGAGGCAAGGCATCTGGAAACCAGAAGGACGATTGAAGGACTAAATGATGTGTTTCTTTTCTTCTCTTTCTCTCTTGATTATAATTTCAAAATTATTTAAAATAAATTGTAAAATTGTTTGTGCCATAATATCTGCTGCAATTGCGATTCATTGCTATACACACATTTTAATAGCTAGTGTATATAGTATGAGTGTAATTCATCAAGAAGATAGAAGTCTATTCCATCTATATCGATGCAACAAATCACTTAATGAACTTAATATTGTAAAAATTTTTCCAAAATTAGGATCAAAAATAATATCAGCAAACAATTACTTTACATTCATAATCTTAAATGCAAACCCCTCAAGAGTTTAGTTCTCTTTAGTATAATTAATAATACGCACAAGTGAAGGAGATACAATGAGAAGGGGAGAGAGAGGCCGGTGGGAGATACTATCATTTGTGAAATCCCATTGCCATACTGGCAGTCAATGCATTGACATGTACAACATGATCTGGAATCTACAAAAAAATAAATAAAAAGTATAACATATAAAATAAATTTTTATATAAATGTACATATTGTCTCTTTGTCATTTTATTGTTACCTGAGCTCCCATTCTTGATAATAGTCTGTTACGGACATGGAATGCTGACATTGGGCGAATTGGATTAGCAGCAATTGCAGCCTCTGCTTGTATATCAGCAATACCATTGGAAGATATGGTTGTACTGCAATATATGATAACATTATAATAATAACAAATTTATTCTTAATCTCTCTCTCTCTCTTACGTGTCATCTTTATTCTTTTCTTCATCAGCAATCTTTTTCCTCTCCCAATAAGACAAATTAAGAACGCCTTATAAATACAGTATAACTCACAGAAACAACACCAAATGTGACTAACCATTATACTTGACTGAGTCAACAAGGTAAAGGGCTATAGCAGCAATCATTGTAACTACAGTAATAATTAAGAGAAGAGGAGGACCAGGTTTAATTAACCCAACTGCTGGTACTTACCACACAAGCAAATGCAAAAGAAAACTTCCAAAATGAGGTAACCGACTCTGTCAATAATGACACCATTAACAATGGGGACAATTGCTAGGCCAAGATTCTGTACTGACTGCATACTTTAGAGGAGAGAAGAATCATCACACACACACACAGAGCAGTATTAATAAACTTACAGTCCATAAGCTGTTCCTAATTGATGCTCAGGAACAATGAATGCAACGAGTGGCCATAAAGAACAAGCAAGTATAGAATAAGCGAATCCCATACCAAGCTATAGTAAAAAAAGGTATGGTTAGCATATTAGAGGCACAAGTAATAACATACCATGGCTAGAAAAGGAATGTAGGTAGCACCATTGCCAAAGGCAAAGGCAGCATGACAACCAAGAGTAGCCAAAACACCAAATATCACTGGGGGAAGAAGAATGGAGAATAGTAGTCTTGTATAATGTAAAACCAGACAACATACACCAAAATAGGTTACATCCAATTCTATCAACAGCAATGCCAAAGACTGGAGATGCCAGTGCTGACATGAAGTATACAATACTGTTGACAATATTAGCAACGCCTGGACTCATCCCGTACTTATCTTCAAGAAATACACTGAAAGAGAAGAGAAATAAAAAACAGATTGAAAGTTAGAATTAAGGAGAGAGGGGGAGAGAGATGAGAGCGACATTTAGAATTGAAGGAAAAACAAATAAAAAGGAAAGTATAAGAGAGAGGAGCTTACGTAGCCACTCCAATGAAAGGGAACACTGTCACATAATACATCACACAAACGATAAAAATGAGCCAGAGAGACAAGGAGAAATCCTTGACATCTCTTAAACTTATTTTCTCACCTAAAAAAAATCAATGATTAAAGGATGTATAAACAATTGTACCTTCTCCTTTCTTCCTCTTGACAATTCTAGCAGCTCTTCTGTCAAACAGGCCCAGAGCCACACCAGTGATGAGTGAAAATATACAAAACCCAAAACCTTTCAAGACAAAAGAAAATATTAACACATATAAATATGATGTACATGCATGATTACAAAAGAGCATATGGAGACTTACCAACTAGAAGTACTACTCCTAGACGGACTGGTTTACTATGAATACCATCAAATGTATCAAACATTTTTTGATTGACATTCATATTAACAGTACTACCCTATTTAAAAAATAATAATAATAGTAACAATAATAATGCTTACGACACGAGAAATGCTGAGAAGAGCACCAAATACAAAATTCAACTCTTTCCCTTTAAACCAAAGGACAGCATAAGCGTTCTGTGCCACAGCTAATGATTCACCACCTAGACTAAAAGGGAGAGAAGGAAAGTGTATCTGGATAAACTAATGGGTAAGTCATTGATTATACCCAAAAACAAATCTTCCAACCAGCATCAACCAAAATTTATCAAAAATGCCGCCAAGAGCAAAGATTAGCTAAAGAGAAAAAATAACAGACTATAAAGGATGATTTGTGCCATACATTACATACCTGGCCGACTGTCACAAAAACGCTAAATAAAACAGTTCCGATTCTAACTCCGATCCACCTGTCAATCAACACTCCTCCAATCAATGACAATATGACATTAGGCCACGAGTATAACGAATATAACAGATTGTACTGAGTGTTGTCGACACGCATAACCTATAAACAATAAACAACAACAATAAACAAAAATAGCAATAATATCATAAACAAAAATAGGCAATATAATCACTAGTGGATGTACCTGTATAATGGTACGAGTGAGAGCCGCCGGATTATCATAACAATAGTAACTGCCTGCAAGTTATAATAAAGATACTGATAATAAGTGAAGTTTATATAGCCGGAATGATCAATATGTCACACTTCATTAAAATGACAAAAGAAATACAAACAATATTTAATATCTTATTGTTTTTAACATTCTCTCTCTCTCCCTCTCATCTATCTTTACCATTGCTTCATAATCAAACAGAGAAAAGGGATAGAAAAGTACATGTATGTGTACGTCAAATAATACTTGTGCATCAGTGTATGTCGTTAGCTGCTCTGTGTGCTTACTGTAGTGCTCATGAAACCTCATGTTGATTCGAAGCCAAATGAAAATGCAATATTTTGGCACATCAACTACTATCATTGACCCAACCCACAGAACACCCACATATATTACAATACATTTTGATGTTTTTATTATATAATTGAAAAAAATTCTCCTCTTTTTTTGTCTCTTACCGAAGCTAAGAGAGCACATTAGACACAGCATCAGAAACCTGTGCATCCATCTCCTTGGATCACACGGGAGGAAGTTATCAATTCGATACTTGGACCTTGCTTGAGGTCTAGAATTAGCACTGCCATCAATAGCACTCAATCCATTAAAGCCACTGCTTCCATAAAGGACCTGTGGGTCAGAAGAATTTAATGGAGCTTTCTCAGTAGACATCATGGGATCATGGGACACTTCAAAATCACGTGACTGTTTACTAGAATAATTAGTAGGCGTGGTTTTTGCAACAAGTTTCCGAGCATGAGCGGAGATACGGCTATGATCAGGATTTTACCATATCGCAAAGTTCTACGGAAAACACGTGGTGTATTTTTTAAAGGCGGGGTGTTGGGCGGCATTCGGTAGGTGTATGATTTTCATTAAGAAATTTATTTACCCTAATCACTTTAAAAATGGCGTGTGGGGGTGAAATGACTGATCTAACACACGAGGAGGAAGAAGAGGAGAGAATGCAGCACCAGACGGTTTTACCTGCCCAGACCAGTACCACAACTGACAGCGTGGCGGCGAGCGAACTAGCCAGACACTTGGGACAAGTCTCCCTCGAATCCAGTCCCATTCTCAGCGGAGCTGGTTCCAGAGAGGCTAGATATACTAGGAAATTCTCTTTGAGAGAATTAGAAATACAACAAACTATAGGTAAAAGCATAACAATGAACCAGAAGTCACTTGTATAATATCAATACATGCTATTATATGGGTTTTAGCTCTGCAGTCAAAAAGTCTATGTATACATTGACTAAACTTATTAGATGCCTCTACTGTGTTTGTCTTTATTGCTCCTTGCTATTATAGTTTGCTATTTTAATGAGGAAAGATAGAGGTAGTTGAAAAAGGAAATGTGTGAAATGTAGTGCTCTCTGGAGTGTTATACTTTGATTGACTAGACTCTTGTCCTTTTTGCTCTACTAGATGACCTGACCCTCTTTCCTTTATTTAGGTACAGGTACATTTGGTCGTGTAGTACTAACAAGAGAGATATCATCAAGGCAGTATTATGCACTCAAAATAATGTCAATAGCGGAGGTCATCAGACTAAAGCAAGTGGAGCATGTGAACAATGAGAAAGAGATACTCACCTCGCTCCAGCATCCATTCATCGTTAATTTGTAAGTGCTTCACTGAGGCTACGTTGTTTACATAGCAACGAGACCGATGCAATCCGTATAATAGTTTTGTGCGGCCTGTTTTATGCTTCTGTTTACACGGAAATGAATGAAAACCATGATAGAATCTTGATAGAATCTTGATAGAACTCTATGGAAACAAAACAGATGTTCAAAGTGCGTATATCATTTTTTTAAAAACAACGATGCGTTTTGTGTTGCTGTCTAAACCCAGCCTTAATTTGCAGTTCATACCTCCCAATTACAAAAATCCTTTTGCAAAAAAAAGATGTTACAATTATGAAAATTCGAGAGATTTACACATGAATCCTAGTAGACTCTAAAGGATTCAGCACTTATGCATACTGGGACTTACATGCATAGTATTACATACATAATGTTTGCATCTTTATGTACAGTGCAATATTACCATCACTCCTACTGTACTTACTTCTACAATGTGCATATAAATGCTATAGGGCATTGTGTGTTAGTGTGAGTTCATGTTTTGTACAAATGCACCATTGAGTCTTCCTTAGTTGTGGTTATTATTATCTCATTTTTAAAGGACATGGTGTAATAATTAGATTCTTGATCCTATTGAGGATTACTTGCATGTATATGTACATGTACACACACACATACACATCCATGCATTTATTGCAATATAGTAATTGGTAGCTGACCGAGTTGAGATGTTTGTGTCTGAATACTGCCTCGTTTGTTTACATAAAGACATGTTGGCTTGCTTCATTAGTGACTGTTCCGTACTATCAACTGGAGATTAAAGTCCGTGGATGGAGAAGGAATGCACTCATATCTGTACTGTTTATGAGTTGACTAAGTAACTTGGTGTCATGATTACACTTGTGATGTATTTTTGTGGGTGTCTCTGCATTTGATATGTCATCTTATTTTCTTTGTATTTCATATTAGCATCATTGCAGCTGAAACTTGATATCACCACCAAGACCTTGTACATGTACATGCGTGTGTATAATTACGTAAGTGTACATGCCCATATAGTCCCTCATGCATGGACAATAATGATTTTTAAGCTCAACAAAGCTGTATTTAATTATTATTATTATTTAATGATTGTATTCAATACAGTTCATTCTTCGTTCCTTTCATGTTTCTCTCGTTTTATTTTTATTTTTAGTAATAAGTAGTGACGATTTATTGCACGTCATCACACAAATCACATTATTATGATTTCTTTTTAATTGCATATTTCAATGGTATATCTACATCTAATTTATGCATGCTTACATATGTCACCCTGTGTCTACTAGTATGTATCTATGCATGTAGTGTGTGTGTGTGTCTGTGTGTGTGTGGTCACAATCAGTTGTGCCTCAGTGAAAGTTCAATGAGTCGTTCTTCCTTTATGTTGCAACTCTTAAAAACCTTATTAATGCTTTGAATGTTTTACTATCATTATTATTTACATGTGTATGTTGTGTCTCCATCATCATCCTGATCTCTTTATGCAAGTGTGCTTGTGTTTACACACTTTATAAATAACTCAATAATGACATAACAACAATAATAATAATATATAATAATAGTAATAATAATAGTAATAGTAATAATAATAATAAGGTTTAATGTCTGCTATAATGTGTGTGTTCCTGTAGCAGTGTGACTATAACGGAAATTCATTTTTAAGCAGCACTACTGAGTTTGTATATGTAACACTTGCAACACCCACTGATGCATACACAAACTCCCTCTATAGCAATTATTCCATTTATATACTCACTGTAGTACAATGTGTAATAAATCTATTACTTGTATGTACATTAATCTACTCATTCAAAATTTCTTTTTAGAGAGCATGCATGTACTTATTATATTATGTATGTTTCTATAGGGCATGGACGCATCATGATAATAGGTTCTTATACATGTTATTGGAGTACGTGCCTGGAGGAGAGTTGTTCACTTATCTAAGAACTGCTCAGAGATTTGATAACGCCACGTCAATGTTCTTTGCTTCGGAGATAGTGCTGGTAATGGACTACCTCCACAGTCAGTATATTGTGTATAGAGACCTCAAGCCTGAGAATATACTCATTGATAGCACCGGACACATTAAGTTGTGCGATTTTGGGTTTGCTAAGAGACTAGCTGATAGGTAAAGAAGAAGAATGGAGAGAGAGAGGGGAGAGAGAGAGAGGGAGTAGGGGGACATAGAGTAATAGGTATGTGCAATTGTGCATAGTACATGTATGTAGGGAGAATTTTATTGTAATTTTAATGGCAATTGGAATTCCATTTTTGGTTCATATGAGGTGATATTATTAATTTAGATCGATCTGGTTTTTACAGCAAAGCTACTCACTTATATCAATGTGTCTATATGGGTCTCCTACACTCTTGTTATTCTTATTCCAACCCTCTCTCTCTCTCCCTCTTTTCTTCCTTCTTTATCTTACCAGGCGTACCTATACATTGTGTGGTACTCCTGAATATTTGGCCCCAGAGATCATTCAGGGCAAAGGTCACGGCAGAGAAGTTGATTGGTGGGCACTGGGTATACTAGTCTATGAGATGCTAGTTGGGTAAGTGAAGAAGAGAGATAGAGAGAGTGAGATGATGATCACAAGCTTCATCTATTAAGGGCTTAGTTCCCCCATACTGTAGTGCATGGGTTTCGCTACAAGAAAATTTTTTATGTACATACTCTAAAGTTGCTTAAAAACTTGGCCCAAGACAATGGGCTATAGTACAGGGTATTTTGTCAAGAATCACCAGAATAGATTTTTTCATTTTTATAATTTTCTTTGATGCATATACATGTTCTTATGCTGTGTATCAACTTTGAGCTGATTTCGATACAATTTGAATTTTTTATGAATTTTTAAAGTTGCTCAAAAATTGGGCCCAAGACCATGTACTGTAGTACAGGGCCATGGGTCAAATTTTGTCAAAAATGGCTCAGAGAGAATCCTCCATTTTTATAATTTTTTCTGATGCATATACATGTTCTTATGTTGTGTAGAAATTTTAAGCTCATTCCGATCAAAATTAGATTTTTTATGAATTTTTAAAGTTGCTCAAAAACTTGGCCCGAGACCATAATGGGCTATTATAGTACAGTACAGGGTATTTTGTCAAAAAAAATTGCCACGAGAGATTTCATGTATGTAAATCACAGTGATTATAATAGATTTATCATCTTAGGTACCCGCCATTTTTTGATGAGCATCCGTTTAGAATATACGAGAAGATCCTTGAAGGGAAGGTCGACTGGCCTAAAGTGATCAGTAGCACTGCAAAGGACTTGATTAAGAAGTTACTGGTGAAGGACGTAACCAGAAGACTAGGAAGTCTTAAGGTACCGTGGGGTAGCATATTTTGCTCACTTTTCTATGCCTCTATTCACTAGGATGGTGTTGATGATGTCAAGCAGCACAAGTGGTTCCGTGGCGTTGATTGGGATGCTGTCCTCATGAGAAAATCACTTGTAAGCCACACTTGATAATCTTGTCACAAAATGAGTGCAGAATCAAAATTTGTCCAAATTTGTGTATCATTACTGTGTCAAGAATCAAGCATTTTTATGCTTTTGTGTTAACTGTAAACCTTCCTTAGTCAAGTAATGGATCATATTATTAGTTATGGTTTTGCTGTAATTAAAACTAAAGGTATAATATTAGTTTATATTTAACTCTCCCTTTCCCCTTTTTCCAGCCTTTGATAATACCAAGGGTTTCTCATCCCGGCGATACAAGGAACTTTGAACGCTATCCTGAAGACGGTTGGTATAACATATTACCATTAAGAGATGAGGACATTGCACCGTTTAAAGATTTCTAGTAACAAAAAATAATAATAGATAACTCTTATTATTATTATTATTATTATTTATGAAATGTTATATAATTGCGTCCACTGAATTCCATCATTATTATTATTATTATCATTTTTTTTGCTGTTATTATTATTATTATCTTGTATGATGTAACATTTTAATTATTATTATTATTATTTAAGTTTGTGTTTTTCTCTATTTTTTCCCTTTGCTCACAACAGCCTTGTTTTTCCACACCTTTCTATTATTTTTTTTATTACCAAGCTGATTATTAAAGTATTATAAATATCCAACTACTATGTATGGTCAAAAACTTAAATGCTAATTGATAATGGCTTTGCACGATAATAAGAGTACAAGTGAATGATAAACTGTTCTGATTGTTGTGGCTCCCAAATGGATAACATGAAATATAAATTCAAGGGATTGAGTTGAACAGAAAGTAATCATCTGACAGTAACGTGATCATTGTGACACAAACTGTCACAACAACATCAACCAGTAACCATCGAAATGAATGTACCCACAGCATTGGTTGTCTTCTTGTTGAGTGTCAGTGAAGTTATTAATCAATGTCCACCTTCCTCAGGTAAGACACTGGATGAGTATAATAACAACTGTATAGGTTTTTATAGGTATCTACCTGACCAGATCTTATGAAGAAACCTGTTATCCTAATGGGTCATATTTTTGGGATAGCACTGTCAATGCAGTTACTGAAGCTATATCATGTGTGTTACCTGGTACTAGTCTAACTACTGGTCAGTGGGTTAGAGTTGCTGATCCTGATGATCCTGTTGACTGTAACAGTGATAGTGCCAGTGATCCTTTTCGTTGTACTAATGTCACTTCACCTGCTGCTAATGTCAGTCTTTATCTTGCTCAGGGACTAACAGCAACTACAGAAGGCTGGTACAAGTGTTGTCTACCCACTGATTGTTCAGATCCTAACACTAACATCATCTTTGCTAATATATTCAGTAAGAGGAGACTATAATCACTTACTGATGTAATAATTTTCATTTGTAGGATTTGCAGAGATAGAATCATTTACTGTTGCTGATTTTCCTTCTGATATGACAGTATATCCTCAGGAATATAAATTGAATTGTATTAAAATTGGACACTACGGTTATGGTATTAGTATGAACATTGGTAGTACTGCACTGGCTAGTTATACCAGTTGTGATGATCGATATAGTACTTGTCCTGGTACTGTGTTAGTTAGTAGTAGCAACACATTAAGATATACTGTTAATATCACATGGGATGGAATGACTGTCAGTAGTGGATCAATCAGTCAATCAACCACTGGAGATCAAATGTATCAGTGCAGGGTAGCAGATCATCCTGATAGTAGGAAAATTAGAATGCGTAATGTAGTTATAAAAGGTAATGTCAATGAATGCAAATAATTCTTGTTACCAATAATATTAGCACCAGCAACTGCTCCCTCTTCTCTTACTGAGGTCAACAATACAACTACCACTATCACTGTCAGTTGGACTGCACTTGATTCATCTGATGCTGATGGATATGTAGTCAATGTCACTAGTGACACAAACACTGTGCAGACAGTACAGGTGGAGGGAAGTAGTAATAATACAATCACACTGAATGGACTGAGAGCAGTAGTAGCTTATAGCATCACAGTCAGAGCCTATCAACAATTACTGGGACCTGCTAGTACAATCAATGTCTTCACTCATTGTCAGCAGGAAGGTATTTTGATTCTTATATAATGTATCAATGTAAGTATTAATTTCATAGGTATCTATTTAGCATATAATGGAACCTGTTATTCTAATGGATCATATTTTTGGGATACTAATATTAGACCAACTCCTCTACAGTGTGTATTACCTGGTGCTACTTTGAATGGTGGACAGTGGATTGGTCCTAATGGAGTAGTTCCTTGTCCGGGTAATAATTCAAATCTTTTATGTACTGTAGGATCAGCAGGATCAGGAGCTAGTCTCAGTGTTCACGTACCCTCCGGTAGCAGTGTATATCTTCAGCAACCTGGTGAAGGCTGGTACAAGTGTTGTCTACCCACTGATTGTTCAGATCCTAACACTAACATCATCTTTGCTAATATATTCAGTAAGAGGAGACTATAATCACTTACTGATGCAATAATGTTCATTTATAGGATATGCAGAGATAGAATCATTTACTGTTGCTGATCTTCCTTCCGATATGACAGTATATCCTCAGGAATACAAACTGAATTGTACTAAAACTGGACACTGGAAGTATGGTATTAGTGTGAGCATTGGTGGCACTGCACTGGCTAGTTACACTGGATGTAATCATCCAAATAGCAATTGTCCTCTTACAGTAAGATATACTGTTACTATCACATGGGATGGAATGACTGTCAGTAGTGGATCAATCAGTCAATCAACCACTGGAGATCAAATGTACCAGTGTGTACTGGATAATCCTAGTCCTGGTATTGACAGAACACGTACTTTAACCATTAAAGGTAAGATTGCATTGACCCTTTGTCCAATTACTTTTCTGTTATAATAGTACCAGCAACTGCTCCCTCTTCTCTTACTGAGGTCAGCAAGACAGCTACCACTATCACTGTCAGTTGGACTGCACTTGATTCATCTGATGCTGATGGATATGTAGTCAATGTCACTAGTGACACAGACACTGTGCAGACAGTACAGGTGGAGGGAAGTAGTAATAATACAATCACACTGAATGGACTGAGAGAAGAAACAACTTATAGCATCACAGTCAGAGCCTATCAACAATTACTGGGACCTGCTAGTACAATCAGTGTACAGACCTTACCAGGTATTGCTACTGCACCTTTTAATGTACTTGTAGCATTGTAGATGCATTAATTAATATTTGTTGTAGTTCCTAGTCCAGTAACCAGCCTCTCAGTATCAATGAGTCACTATGTAACATGCAGTACTGACAACACACCATCTAGCTGTATCTATACTACATCTTCTGCTAACTGGTTAACATCTAGCTCTATTTCTATTGTATCTTCTTCTTGCTTATCAACAAATGCTACAACACAAGGTAGAGTATAGTTTGAACCAGTTATTATTTATATTTTTAATAGATTTATCAGCATCAATTGTGAGCCTTATCATCATTTGTGTGATTCTTTTTGTTGCTTTGGTAAGTTGCTGTGTGGTTAATGGCCTCCTGTTACTGTACATTAAAAGGTAACTAATAACACGTCATGACATACATGAGTGATAAAATTATAGGATTAAAGATAAAAAGTATGACGTTATTGTTCGAAGATTCTCAGGGAGACAAAGATTTGTGTAAGTAGACTAAAACATGGTGACTTTCTTTATTTGTAAATCTATAGATCTAATGATGGGACCATTAAATTGAAATCCTGCGAGTCTTATGGTTATAATATTGAGAGAGAGTCGCATGAAAATAATAATAATGATGATGACAATGATGATGGAGTTTATGCTGAGCCTGCCATTTATGAAGAGTGCAGATCAGATGTTGATTATAAAATTTACTATTGAAACTGTTTTGTGTGTTAGGTAGATGTGTATATGCTATGTTAAGAGACTATGTCTTCTTTTTATTAAGCAAAAATAATTAAAGAATAATAATTGTTCTGCAAATGTAAAGGAAAATTTAATTTCAATAATACTATTGACAATTATCCTTTGTAAATTTGTTTTTAGCACCTTGTTAACACCTTTCCAATTTAACAAGCATCTTGTTAGCACCTCTAAAATTTTAACAAGTATTTTGTTAACAACTTAAAATTTTTAAATTAATTTTTAATTTCAATAATACTATTGACAATTATCCTTTGTAAATTTGTTTTTAGCACCTTGTTAACACCGTTACAATTTAACAAGCATCTGTTAACACCTCTAAAATTTTAATTAATTTTTAATTTTAATATTATTTTAATAAAGTGATTTGGCTATACACCTGTAGCTACTAAAATAATGTATTATCTGTTTATTAATTAATAATTGTAATTAGTAAGTGATAAAGTTTCGAAACATAGGAAGATCAGTCATCCAACTGACAAAGTAAAGCAACGCCTCTCAGTATCCATTGCTTGACTGGTTTATCAGTATTCAAACTGATTGGGAGTACATAGTTGGTGGAATGACCAGTGGTAGAGAGGACACCACGACGTGCACTTGTCTTGTACAGTGGACACAAGTATGCTCCCCTCTCCTTTATATCTGCCTTCTTACCTGCAATAGAAGCCAATTGTAATACATACAGCTACACATGATGTATAATGCAATCATAACTCACTTGGTTTCATCCATATGATTGGCACTGGATCATACAATACTTTAGGATGCTGCTCAGCCAACAAGCCTCTAAATGATACAAAAGACAGTACAAAAACCTCTATATATATATATAGATGTACATGTGTACCTCTCTCTGTCCCATCTAGCACCATCCAAGTAGAGTCCATGAACATATACTCCATCCTCTGGAGGAGTGTCTTTACTATCCACTGGTATTACTTCAAAATCAAAGGACAGTTTGTCAATTGGGATTACATATTTCCTGGCATAGTTCTGCAGAGCACCAGTCAAGAATGCCTATATATAATGAGGAATAGCACATGAATGAATAGAATAAATAATAGGACGTATTTCAATTTATGTTTACTTGGGTGAAGTAAAACCCTGATATCCAGAATACAGGAGGTTTCCCACTTTCCATCCAATCCTGCAGGAACTTGAGTCTTGCCAGCAGATCACTGATGTAGCTACCAAGTGGTTTGAGACTAGGGTATGACCTTTTAGCCCAAAACTCAGGCACCTAAAGCATATAAAGATGAATAAAATTTAAAAGTACATGTACATGTACACATCTTGTTACCTTTCCTATTAGTAAGCTTTGTGCCAATGCTTCAAGGTCGGCATTCATTACCACCAGACCTTTGATTGCCTTGCGTAAGTTAGAGAGAGAAGAAGTGATGGCTGACGTGAGACGATTAAATCTCTCCATTTCCTGTACCAGTACTGTATTCATGCTCTCCTCATAGCAGACTGGGTACTTTAATATAGCAACCTCTAAATCAAATACTCTTGGAAGCTGCATAGGAGGAAAAATAGGAAATTAAAACTAAATCTACATGTATGTAGTACCTATGCAATATGTACAGTATAATTGGTAGTTCACCTTATTTAGTATATCTGCTGCTATTTCATCCAATACATCTTCTGTCTTTCCACCTCCTCCTCCTCTTTTCTGTGACTGAGTTAACAACACTGAATCAAACAACTACAGAAAAAGCAAAGTGGAAGAATTAATACAAACATACACATGCATTGTGGATCAAAATGAAAGGCAATTAAGCTTTTTATTTTTTCCTCTCTACCTGTCTTGTTTCCTGTAGCTCACGTGAGATGTCTACATTGTCGTGCATCCCAAATATCTCTGGGTTCTGTGTCATGGGCAGTTCCTTAATAAACTCTACATAATCTTCATAGGATCCTTTAGGAGGTGCATAATACACTCCACTGGGAGAGAACTTGTATCGCTGATCATTGACAATGTCAGTAGTGTAGAAATTAGACAGAATATTCATAAGACATCGCCTGCATATATAAAGTAATAACATTAAAATGTCACATGTAAATGTGCAGTAAATGCACATGTGCATGTGTTAGTGAATATTGTACCTGTCCCAATCATCAGTGACTCTTCCTCCATAGTTGCATTGACCAGTGAGATAGGTTATAGCATCAAATGGTATGTAATCATACTCGTTGATAAACATCTGAGAAAAAAAGAAAAAATAATAATATTACTAGCACTGACATGTAGTTTTTCTACTGTACATGTACATGTACAGTAGAACATGTACATGTACATGTACATGAACATGAACAGTACATGTACATGTACATTTAATAGTATACAGTACCTGTAGTTGTCTGACACTGATTCTCAGATCAGATTCATTAAAACCGTACGGTATATTCCAGCCAAGAGGACCAAATTTCCTCCTCTCTTGGACGAGAGCATGAAAGAAACACAAACCAAACAGTAACTTCTCCCAAATCTATATACAATACACATTATAATCATAATATAAAAGTATCAATCAATGCCTATTACTAATTATTATTATTATTATTTATTTACGTGTGATTTTTCGCCGCATCCTTCGAAGAATTCGGTGTCAGAGATGGGATCAGTGATATAAGATTGCAACAAGTTTTGTCTCAGTCCTGTTGGAGGCTCGTTGGTCATCTTGACTCCGTTCTGCAGCACTGATACTGGGAACTATAAAGAGCATGTACATGTACATACAAGTACGATATGTACAGTAAAACATGCATAAAAGTACATGTACATGTACATGTATGAAACAAAAAGAACATATACACACAATATGTACAATAAAACAAGTATAAAAGTACATGTACATGTACATAATTTTATACATGCAAATGTAATGTACATGTATGTTTACTCTTACCTTGTCTGAAGGATAAGAAGTCAGCCATAGTCTAAATTCAGACGATCCCATCTTATCTGCTTGGAATTCTTCACAGATTTTCTCCAGTGCAGGCATCCAAGAGACGGCAAGATGACAATTCTGCAGTACAACCCAAGTACCTTCGCTAATGCCTGTCTCAATCATCTTGGCTGCTACTGGACCCTAAAAAAATTTGATTAAAAATTAATATTCTCTCTCTTCTTCTTACTTGTCCTTGTCCTAATGAAATGGAGTTAAACTTTTCTCCAGTGAATCCCTTGTCTTCTGCAAACTTAAGCAGTCCAGCCATGGGATCAGCGCCAGGCGAGAGGACAAATATCAATGGAATGGAGCAGTTAGAGTCAGCGTAACTCTTAGCTAGATCAAAAGGAGGAGGCTCAACAAACTTCTCACCAAGCTTGGATTTAACAAATAACACCAGAGAAGGTATAACCTACAGCAAGATAAGAAGAGATAAATAATCATGCATGTACAAGTACATTAAATAAAATGTAAAAAAACATACATATACATATTATTAATTTCCTTACTTTATCAGGTCTGAGACATCGAAGTACAATCAATTTCTGGAATTCGTTCAGTTTACCGTTCCAAGGAGATGGCAGTGGTGCCAAATGAGGCTCCTTATCATCATAGTAGTTCCTCCAGTCAGTAAGTGATCCTGTGAACTTACCAAGGAAACCTAAAAACACAAACTTCTAACTTGTAATATTCAAAAAATGTACATGTACATGTACAAGTACAAATTATTCTAAATACCAAATGTACATAAACATCTACAATTACATGTACATGCACTTAACAAATGAGGAGGTTTGATATTATTATGCAGATGTACATGTAGTCATGTACATGTACACACTGACAATATACATGTACATGTATTATGTGTATTTACCTGAGAATGATTTCATTTCAGACATTCTGCATATTTCGTCCCATGATCTATCAGAGAGCCACTGTGGTGCTGGGTTCTTTAGCTTATTTTCAAGTCCAACTCCTCCAGTCAAGAAAAACATAAATTCTCCCATATCCATTTCATTCTTAGCCCTAAATAAATAATACAAAAAAAATGTAAATAAAAAATATATTTATTTCCTGTGGTGCTGTACATGAATTACTACTGTCTCTTCCAAGCAATAAAATATTAGGGCCAATTTGGAAGCCTACATCATAAACTGGTCATAACTAAGAAAATTTCAGTTGGAATCAGCTCAAACTTTCTACACAGCATAAGGACATCAATATGTATTAGAAAATGTAATAAAAATTGGAGGTGATTTTTGGGTCATTTTTTGGAAAAAACCATGGGCTATAGTACAGGGTACTTTTCAGATTTTGGCCCATTTTTAAAAATGGTCGTAACTTGAAAAATTGAAGTCGGAATCAACTCAAACTTTCTACACAGCATAAGGACATCAATATGTATTATAAAATGTAATAAAAATTGGGAGTGATTTTTGGGTCATTTTTTGGAAAAAACCATGGGCTATAGTACAGGGTACTTTTCAGATTTTGGCCCATTTTTAAAAATGGTCGTAACTTGAAAAATTGAAGTCGGAATCAACTCAAACTTTCTACACAGCATAAGGACATCAATATGTATTAGAAAATGTAATAAAAATTGGAGGTGATTTTTGGGTCATTTTTTGGAAAAAAACCATGGGCTATAGTACAGGGTACTTTTCAGATTTTGGCCCATTTCTTAAAATGGCCGTAACTTGAAAAATTGAAGTCGGAATCAGCTCAAACTTTCTACACAGCATAAGGACATCAATATGTATCAAAAAATGTAATAAAAATTGGAGGTGATTTTTGGGCCATTTTTCGGAAAAAACCATGGGCTATAGTACAGGGTACTTTTCAGATTTTGGCCCATTTTTTAAAATGGTCGTAACTTGAAAAATTGAAGTCGGAATCAGCTCAAACTTTCTACATAGCATAAGGACATCAATATGTATCAAAAAATGTAATAAAAATTGGGGGTGATTTTTGGGCCATTTTTCGGAAAAAACCATGGGCTATAGTACAGGGTACTTTTCAGATTTTGGCTCATTTTTTTAAATGGGCATAATTTTTAAAATTGAAGTCAAAATCAACCCAAACTTTCTACACAGCATAAGGACATCATTATGTATTAGAGAATAAAAATGGGTACACATTATTACATGAGGAGGTTGCAACAGAGAATGAAGGAGAAGAGAAGCTTGTCCTTCTCAAACAGCGACCGACAGACATTGCAGTACAAATTGTAAGTAAAATGATCTGTCAAATATCTCAGCCTCCTCTCAAGTTGCTTGGATTTTGTACTGAAAGAAAGAGAGAAAGAAATACATGTAATTTAAAATAGTCCAAAAGGATTCTTTCCTTACCTGTCATTAATCGAAATTATAAATAAATTGACATACCAGACAAGTGAGTACTGATACATAGGATCAATGTTAGGTAGGTCAGTAATAGAGAAGAACAGTACTGAGCCATGTGCTGCTATTGGCCTATAACCAGCACGTGACTGCTCTATCTTCTTCTCTGTCTCTTCGGCAACTTTTTGTTTCTTTGATATCTCATTTGATAGAACCTTTGATGAGTCTAATATCTGAATGGCAGTCTCATCTTCAAGGATGTTCCCCTCGGAGGACGAGAGAGTCTCTAGGATTTTGTCCTCAATCTCTTTGAGTTGCTTCTTGTTGGCAGCAGACTGTATGATCAGTTGCTGTCTCTCTTCTTCAAGCTCAGGCCTACAAGAAGACAAAAAATATTTGGAGCAAACAACATCAATACTATATCACATACTAAAGTGCAAGAATACATTTTATCTACATGTACATTTATATCTAGTACACATGTATATGTACATAGTAAATATATGTACATGCATGGTGCAGTGTGTATGTGTATTGAGTAGTTTGGTTTACCTTTCCTTGGCTACTACAATGCCTAATAGCTGGTCCTCCAGTCCCTCTGGTGTTATCATAAAGTTGAGGAGTGTTACTTTGGTTGATAGCTCGGGAAGGTAGTGAGGATTACGTAGCTTCGTGGTGAAGTACAGCCTAAAGTCACTGGAGTACTCTATGGTATTATCACCGAGTTTAATGCACCACACTCCACCTTAAAAATAACAAAAAAGAAAAGGATAATTTAAGAATTAGCATTGATCATAAATACATTTAATATTGCTACAGATTAATCATAATGATTAGAATAAAGGCAATCCATTCTTCTCGTTCTTTCTTTCTCTATTCATTACCTTGTTTGAAGGTTTGTTTCAGTAGCAGTGGCTCTAGTGAAGGATCCAGCTCCTCTCCTACATTCTCAACCAGTACAGGAGTACCAAACTGTATGCTGTTCTCAAGTGTACGCACATAATCCGGTTGAGTTAGTTTGACGACTTGTAACTTATTGACTTTTTCTGAGTTCTTTATCCACTTGTTTGCCTGACCCTGTGGATCAATCATTAGTGGCCTGAAAAGAAAAAGAGAAACTTAACAACATACAGTATGTCATTCTCTCTCTTACCATCTCCTGGTGTTGTCAACAATGACTCCATTATCAATAGAGAAACTATCAGTTGGTAGTCCAGCAATATTCCAATCCCTGATCTTCACAGGGTCACCTAGTGTCTTACTTAGACTAAATTCCTGACTACACAGTACCTTGTATTGCTGCAACACAAAAAATAGAAGAAAAGAAATAAATTTAAGTACCATATTATAAGCTGCAAGTGTACATGTACATGCATATCTTTACCTTGCATTTGGCAACCCATCCCTTCACACAGTCTGTCCTATAGTTGGAGGTGAATGCTCCAAGGTAAGCAATGACACCTGATGCTATTAGTACATCACCAGTCAGATTATCATAAGTCTCTTGAAGACTCTTAGCTGCCTGAGACCATCTCTCCTTCTCTCCTCCCAGTCCTCCAATCAGCTTCTCAGCCCTGTCCAGTTTCTTAGCACAGAGGTCAACCTGTTGCTCTAGTTGCTCCTTCTCTTTGGTCTTTTCTTCAAACTGCTGCTTGAGGAGAGCAAGACGGTCCTCAACCTCTTTCAGCTCTCTTCTCTTTTCGTCTAGAATGGCCATCGTTTCCGTTAGTGATTGCTGGGCCTCCTTTAGCTTCTCTTTCTTTGGAGCGACCACTTTAGCTACTCTATCGTATATCTCCATGGCTAGTATCCACTTGCAGAGTCCTTCTGCTGCAGACGAGGCGTTGCGGACTTTCTGTGGATCAAATTCTGGATTGGTTATATACTCTGATCTTATCTTCGACATTATTTGAGGCTAAAAAATAAAAAAGACATGACATAAATTTTGAAGACATGGACTATTGTATATTTACTGGTATGTTGTCTTTGTCATATTCTTTTAGACTGCTCAGGAAACTCATGTCACCTAAGAGCTTCTTTGATGGGCCCCAGTAATCCAATATCTAGAGGAAAAACACTAGTAATGTATTATATAGGAGGTAGCCCTATATGTAGGATTGAGGTTGGTTTTTCAAGATATCATAGTAAAGATGAATGAAATCAGAATAATCATAGAAGTACATGTACATGTACATGTATGTGTGTATTGCTATTTTTGCTTACTTTTTGTCCAGTTCCAGCAGGGTCATTAACTTTATCAGGTTTGATGGCTCTCATTACACATACGGCACTCATCACTAGCCTAACTCCTGATGGTGGGTTACTCATTGACTTCACTATAGTAATGTCAGCAGGTTTGAGTGTATTGAGAGCAGTCAGTGCTGCCTCTAGTGCTGGAATTGCTTCTGCTAAATCACTCTCACACTAACAAAGAACAAAATACAGTATAAATGCTTGTAAAAACATTATTGTTGTTGTTTCTTTACTTCATCTTTCAGTGCTTTGGCCTCAGCTGCCTTCTCATTAGCGACTTTCTCATCAGCTCGGACTATTTTACTTCGAGCTTCAACTTCAGTTGACTCTCTCTCTATGACTACCATCATCTGTTTGTTCTCTTCTTGAGCTACCACTAGCTTTGGCTGTAGCTCTTCCAGTTCCTTCTGCATTGATGCTACCTACAGTATGATTGTGCAATAAACAATGTGATAACTACATGTATAGTTTGCAGCCATTTTTGTTTCAAGTATACTGCATTAAAGTAAGCATGCATTGTTGGTCACTAGTAAATTAATAATTTCTTTCTTTACCTGTGATGCTGCAAAGGCTAGTTTCTCAAGACCGACTTCGTAGCGTTTCTTAAATTTGAGTATTTCTCCTCTTTTCTTTCCCAGTAGCAGTTTCAGTGATGAAATGAGCTCAAGATAAGACGTCGGAGTCACGTAATTATATCTACCCAACTCTGCCTCAAACCTTAATAAAATAAATAATATATTAAACATAAATACATAAATGTACATGTACATATAGTTTACATGTATTTCTATGAACTGAACAAGTGCAATAATGCATTATTCTTTTATAATAATATGTACATGTATTGTAGGCATGGAACTTACTTCTCAGATAGCTCTCTGGTGCTTTGATGGAAGTGCTTACAAAGTGATACAGTAGCTGCTTTCTCTTCATCCTCCATGTGTACATCCTCCAGAAACTTGTTAGCTACTAGCTCCAGTGCATCATCAGGCCAGGCCTAAAGAGAGAGAAGACACAGTGTACATTAGTACATGAGTATGAGTGTTGCTTTACCTGGAACCAGTCAATAGTACAGCAGTTGATGAGTGAAGGGAATTTCCTCAGTCTATTCCTGAATGCATCACCAATTGGACTCATTGCAAGTATGACGTGAAGATTCTCACGACAGCGACTAACAAAGAAATTGAATAGAGAGAGAGGAGTAAACTCCATGTCTTTATTATCAGCCTGTGCTAGTGGCCTCATAGCCTGGAATGAATATAAAGATAATGATGGAGTAAATGTTATTTAAACTCTTTTTTTCTCTCTCTCTCTCTCTCTCACTTCAATAATTTCTTGTTTTTCATCAATAGCAAACAAGTTAGGGACTTCCCCAGCATTGAGCAACCCGTCTACATCTTCTAGAAACTTCTCGTCCTTTATCTGTGTGTCAGTGATTAGGAACACAGTGGTCTTCCCCTCCTTCCCTGCACTCATCAGTAAAGCCTACAGAAACAGAGACACAATAATGATAGGCATTGTGTTGTTATACTCTATGTATAAATGTACTTGTACATGTATGTACATGTACATGTAGTGTATATATGTACATGTACATGTATAAAAATTAGGGTCACCTTCAAGTCTTCTTTCCATTCTGGTATCCCATAGCTTTTGGATATCTCTGGTTGGAAGAGGACAAAGTCGGCCATTGAAGTGGCCAGTCTAGTGAGGGACTGTCGTCCACTGCCCCCCACACCAACCAGGAGTGCATTGCCACCGGACTGCTTCAATATACGACATATCCTTGATAAATGCTCCAATAAATATCTATAAATAATAATAGAGGTAATAGTAGGATGATAAGAGAGAGGGTTTATTACCTAAATATGACAAGGTTCATTCTGTTCTTGTGTGTGTTGTTGTATTCTTCAAGAGCAGCTTCAACCACTTCAGTCAATTCAGTGATTGATGTAACCTCCTCATACAACTTTTCTTCCTATAAAAATAACATACATACATTTACAATGCATACATTTAGATTAGAGCTACATGTAGGTTTAGGTACATGTACATGTACATGTGCATGTGTACAATGTATATGGACGTACAGCATCAGGTTTCATGTAATCGCCAAATAACAAACTCCTCATGTCATCATCAGTGACTCCACCTCCACTGGAGGAGGAAAGGTGCTTAAAAACAGTACCAAAATCCTCCTTGAAATGATTCTTTACCATCTTCTTTAGTAGTCTAAAGAAAAATTCAAAAAATATATTAATAGTAAGTGTACATGTACACTATATACATGTACTAAACATTAATTAATACAGTACATACATGTACATGTACACTATATACATGTACATATACCAAACATTAATTCATACAGTACATGTATTAAACTCACTCATAGAGCCAGTGTCTGTCAGTATCATCAATCAGTCTATCATAATACACTCGGTACACCTCATGGACCCAGAGTTTAGTAAATGTTCTCTTATTCTCCACACACTGAGGCTTGATGAGCAACACTCCCAATATAACGCGTGCAAAGTCTCTCAAATTAAAAGTGTAATGGGATTTTGCTGGCGTAGGCAGTAAGTTCGACATTGTCTCTTTGTACACTTCCATGGTGGCTGCCACAATCTGTGAGGCACAGGTAAAGTACTCTGTAGCAAAGTTGTTCTTTTTCAAACTGAAGGAGAATATCGTTGAGAATATTCTAGTCATGGTCTCGTCTGTGAACTCGTTGACTGCAATGACGTTAAAGTGACGGAGGAAACGAGGAGTGATTGGATTCCGCCCACCACCTGGAGGACCCATAGCAGCTAAAAACTGAATATCAATCAGAGATATCTTAGATACATCCTTCTTATCGTACCTGTAAATAAAACAATGATAATAAATTTTTAAAAAGCAAAATGTTAACAATGCTAACAAGCACCAAAAATACTAAAAATATATACAATGCAAAAAATAGATATGCTGTATGTACAATATGTGAATGCCTGTGGATAGTATAAATTGCAGCATTACAGTATGTACATGTACATATACAATGTACATGTATTTATAATTGTACGTACCACATTCCATGGTCCATGAATTGTCTCAGTAGTTCGATTGGTGGTTGGGCTCCATACTTCTCTCTTGCTGGCATATTCAAGTCATCAACAAATATGACACTTTTCTTTCCCATTGGAGGACCAAACACTCCTTTACGCCTCTTGTCTAGCTTTGACATTATGATATCCTAAAAGAAGAAGAACACATTTAAATCATTATTATTATTCATTATTTTCTTCATGTGCTGTACATGTACCTGTGTTTGTCCAGCTGAAGTTTGAGCAGAGAAATTGACTATGAGTGGTACAAACTTGTCCTTGTCCAGCCTGTTCATTAGGTTATCCTTCACATATGCTGTTTTACCAGTACCAGTTGGACCGACAAACAACAATGCCCTCCCATGCTGGACCATTATATTCATTAGGTAAGTACACCTACAAAATAATGTAGTGCTCTTTTATGCTGTAGATGTATATATTTATCACTGCTACATGTACATGTATATTCCATGCTTTTTTCAATACAAATTGTTTGTACAATAGTAACACAATAACTCAATTTTTTAAATATGAAAAGTTACCATAAAAATAACAAACACCAGAAATAGTAACAATCAATAAGCATGCAAGTACATGCAATCACAATGCAATGTGATGGAAGCATGGCAATATTTCAAGCCTCTCCTTACCTAGCAGTATAAGCAGTGGGTACTATAATATCAGCTAGCTTGCTAATGTTAGGATCAATCGACTGATCCCTCACCATGTCCAACCATGGTGTCCATTTACCACGGCCTTTAGCCTCAAACACGTAATCATAGACAGTTCCTTCTGGAGGGAGCGGACACTCTATTTTACCCACGGATGCCGGCATGGGATGTTCCTCCATTTTGTCGCTCATCAACTCGCGGAAAAAGGTGTCAAATTTTTGTTGACTGGACTTGTCACCGGTTGCCCCTAGGGACCAGATCACGGAGAATAAGAATTCTGAAATGATCCAAGAACGCATGTTCTTGTCTTTAGTTGCAGCTTCGTCTTCACAAATGTCCTCCATTAACATCTGGAACAAGTACATGAGGGAACGAGTGAGGTTACTGTCCGAAGTACTGACTAGTTCCTAGAGGATCAACGAAGCTTAATATTGAACAAAATGTACTTAATGTATAATTTACTTTGACTTGTTTGTGTACAAAAATGAGACAAGGAGGTACCATCCAGTCAACTAGACTGTGAATCAATTCACCATTCTGCTCTCTTAATACTGGAGACAATGCTGCAAACCTACATGTACATGCAAATGTACATGCATGCATACATGTAAAGGATTATAAAAGGATAGTGCCTTTCTCTTACCATGATGTGTAAATAGGTCTCCAACCGAATGTGGTTGGTTCCAAGTATATCATACCACATCTACTAACAGTAGCAGGCTACAGAAATGAAGAGAATACATAATAATTATTGCATACTAAAACACAGACAAGAAAAATAAATGCACAATAATTACATGTACATGTACAGTACATGTACAAATTTAAGACAAACGACTCACTGAAGCTTGTGATAGATCATCAGTTTCAAAGATGAGGTTCATCGATGGAGACATTTGTATGATCTCTCCACTCATGAGACAGAGTTTCTTATTATCATCCAGTACAGTGTTCATTGACTCAATCCACAGTGTGTCCACTGGACCATCAAACACCACCCACTTACGATCATCATTCTGTGCTGAAGCAAACTCCCTGAGAGACAAAAAAGAAGGAAATGGTATATGTGTAATTGATTTTCCAGATGCTCATGCATCAATGCATTTACAGTTTATACAAGTACATAAGTGTTAACCACAAACAGTCTGCAACCCATGATAGCTTTTACAAATAACATTGGATATAAAGTTCCTACAGAGTGCCATCAGTAACGGTAAATAAACAATACTTCTAGAAAAATTTTTGGATGGGTTTAAAAACCCTAAATTTGTAATTTTAACAATTAAAGCATAACAAGACAATAAAGGATACATGATGATGTAATTGTCACTGAAAGTGCTATTACATACACGTACCTAAAGGTATTAGCTACCACCCCATCAGTCCATTCGTGTGAAATTGGATCAAACTGCCCAAAGAGCTGTCCCATGGTGATACTCTTGGGATTAATGACACGATACATTGTCTTGTATTCCTCCATTTGCTCCCTCTCATTCAAGAGGGTCAGTGTGTCTGCTAGCACATCTATCACTTTAGTCTTTGCTGCAAATGGAGCCCCTACCTAAGAATACAAGTAATCTAATGTAACATCAAATATAGCATGAAGAAAAATCATTATTACAGTATGTACATGTATATACATGTAATATGAGTATGCATTCACTTTTGTACAATAAATAAATTAATAAATTAATATAAAAGTAAATAATAATGATACTGACCAACATGAATCCATGACGGACTATCATCATTTCGTAGGTTTGTATGAGTTTCTGTACAAAGAACTCGGTCACTTGGAGATTAGATTTCTCGCATATATCAGTAGCAGCACCAACAAACTCAGCATAGTCTGGTTTGGGTAGTGTTATGCCAGGGAAGAGGTCAGAGATGATACCCTCAAATAATGGGATGTCATGAGATAAGAACTATACAATGTACAGGAAAGATGAAAGTGCAATTATAACTTACATGTATAAGATTACTGATTGTTTTTCTTACTTTGGGTAAGTTGACGTCCATTATTGAACGAAGCAATAAGATGTCTTCGTTTTCATCAGGAAACTTCAATTTGAGATTACCAGCAGCGGCTAGAACAGCCTTAACAGCTCTCATACCATAATCATAATGAAACTGACTAGACAACTGATGGAGAATAGAGAGAGAGAGAGACAATGATGATTATACAAGTAGAATGTACACGTATGCCTGCATTTAAGCAAATGTACATGCATGTATATGTATATGTACATGTACATATTGTGTACCTGTTCAGAGCATAGACGATATGTGGTTACTATTTTAACGGCTAAATTCCTGGCATCAACAAAACCGTACGAATACAACATGATCTCTCCAATCATAGCATAATCAGGTACCATCATAGCCACTGTACGGAATAACACCTTGAGAAAAAAGAAAGAGTAAGGAGAGTTAAATAAAAAATAAAATGTAATTCTCTGTTACATGATACATACATGTATGTACTGTATGTGTAATTTTCTTTTCTCTTACTTTAAGATTGTCAGGTAGCTCTGATCTTCCAGCATAGCCAGGATTCATTGTCACGCACACAAAACAAGACGGATTGATGTTCAATTGGGTACCTTCAAATATAAAAGTTGACACTTGAGCAATGACTGCCCTCTGTATAGTCAATATCTAAAATAATAAAAATAATAATAATATATACATTTACATTTATAGCCATTTACATGTACATGTATAGCATATGTCCACTGTACTGTACCTGTTGTGCTATTACTGATAATACTTCAAGCTCAATGCGATTGAACTCATCAAAGCAAGCCCATGCACCAGTGGAGGCTAAACCTTTAAAGAATTTCCCCATAGCAAGATAATCCAATCCATCAGAACAATTGAACACTACACACTGAACAGCTAATGCTTTAGCTAAATCCTAACAGTACAAGAAGAAAGTATACATGTAATGTATCAATCATACAGTAGTTGAGTTTCTTTTTGTACTTTGACTGTTTCTGTTTTCCCAGTCCCAGCGGGTCCTTCTGGTGCTCCTCCTAAATGAAGATGGAAGGCACTAACAAGAGTACGATAGCACCTGTCAGTCAATGGAGTAATGACCAATCTATGGGAGGAGAAGAAATAAAATAAATACATTTTACATGTACATGTACATAAAGAATGCAGGATTTCTCACAAAGCATGCTAAGTGAGCTAAACAGCATGAGCTTCATAAGCTGACAAGCACTACAATACAGTACATGGCATTTGGTAATGTAGTGTGTGCTGCATGTATGTACCTTCCAGAGTTCCCAAGATATTCACAGTGATATTTAACAGTTGCATTAATGATTCTAGCCATTACACAAGTCTCCTCCCAATAATAACGCAACTGACACAACCACTGGAAATCATTCTCACTAGTAACACCTAAAATATACAATGTACATCACTTTAAAATTATATTAAAATAATGTTAAAATAATTACACAAGTATGACAGTAGGCACAAAAACTCTATAGATGTACATCAATCCAATACAAGAAAAGATTACACTGTCTGCTATCAATTTACAATACAATGAGTGTCCATACCTTTCTCCACTAGTTCCAGTACTACATCTCTTGCATGTACATCCATTACTACTAACGCTCCTAGTGTAGTTCGGGTCTGCTTGGGTAGCTTACCACGTACCATTTCAACAATACCCTCCAGTTGTTTGGTTAGTTTGGTGTGATACTCTTTCACTCCCTGCGGTCCGTTGCGTATTGCCTCGTGAACCTCTAGTGTCCAGAATATCTGTGATACACATATCACTACTTGACCAGGCCACTCACAGACCCACTTATTACGAGGATTCTCAGCATAAGCCTAGAATAACAAAGGGAGAGAGAGAGAAGAGAGGAGGGAGAAAGAGCCTTAATAAAATAATTTCTATACTCCTTAAAATGCAATTAGGCAAAACTACATGTAGATGTACACATGTAGTTTATGAACATGTACATGTAGCTACAGCCTTATACATTTAAATTTGTGTAGAAGAGTTTTCTTATGCACATGTACATGTACATGTACATGCATGCACATGTATATTGTTATTTTACATTTTTGGCCATTTCTAGTACATCTCCAACGCTGAGTATCATGATATCTTGGACCTGGAGCAACCACTTCTCAACTGCTCCTCTGGCAGCAGCTGTTGATATAGTCTGAGATAAACTAACCTTTAAGCAAGAGAGAAATGTAAAAAAATTACACTTGTAAAAAGTACATAAGGAGAGAGATTGGAAGACTATTTTTTGTACCTTTTCTCCTTCAGAACTGAACATGGCAGTAATATCCAGGCTATCAGTGAACTCCAGTTTAGCAATACCTTCAAAGCATTTCTTGAGATGAGGCTGTACCCTAGTTGGGTCTTTAGTCTCTGATAATATCTCAAGCATCTCATCGTTCGAGAGGAAAAAGAATCGAGGGAAATAGAGTCTCTTTTTCTCCAAGTAAGCATTGAGCCCTTTCTGTATCTTGTCAAGGAGCTCGTTGCTACCAAACAGCTTCTCATACAGTCCTGGATAGGCAGTGGCTTTGAGTACTTTAGGATCCTTTACTGTGTTACGCATAACTTCCTTCCAAGTTTTGTCAACCTAACATGTAAGAGACATAAAAATATCATTCAATCAAAAAACAGTTAGGTATACACTAATGAAATTTAAGTTAAAAAGAACCATACATGTACATGCACATCAATCATTATACTACTATTAATATGAGCACATATGCTATTACATGTATGCACACTGTACCTGTGTGAATAGTTTTCCTTCTTCAGGCATTTGTTGCATGATGTCTTCAGAGGAGAAGATAGGCTCCAGATACAGCCACTGGGACTGAACCTTCAACCATTCATCAAGTGTATCCTGCATCTTCAATAACCTCTCCTCCCATGCCTTATGGAAAAAATGGAAATAAGTAAATGAATACAAAATTTAAATAGCAAATTAATGCATGTACATGTACATGTACATGTAAAAGTACACTGTATAAATATGTACATGCATGTACACTGCATATTGTACCTTTATTCTTGCTTCAAACGGTTTAATGAAAGGTGATCCTCTCATTGTTTGAGTCTTCACAATCTGGTCATCAAGGTTAGTCTGTATATCATCCACTGCTGTCAGTATTGATATGCCAGAGTCACGGTATGAGGTTGTATTGAATATGATTTCATCCCAATCGTCAACCATCTTATCCATTGCCCTCTCCAAACTGAACTCCTATTAGAGGAAAGAGAGTAAAGAGACACAAGGAGGAAGTTTAAAAGAGAGAGAGAGAGAGAGAGGATAGCAGTAATAATAATGTACTGTACCTTGCTGGCAGCAGCGCTGATTGCCTCAAACTCCTCCATGTAGGATTCAAGATTATACTTGAGAACTTTACGCAATGAAGTACCGGAATCAGGCGTTATATTGAAACCAACAATCTCTGACATCTAGGAATAAAATAGTAATACAATTAATACATGTACACATATTATTATTATTCTCTTACTTTGTCCCAGTGGCGTTGCCTGAGTCCAGGGTTACAGAGTATGTGAATGGTTGGTAGGAACTCCTTGAACTGATTGACCTGATCCAGGACTGTCTTTGATAACTTCAATGGAGCAAACACTTCACCTTCTTCTTCTGGCTGGTCTCTACGCATCTGAAAAAAAGAGGAAGTGTACATGTATATGATGTAGTTAATTTAGAATGACTCACTCCTCCTCCTACATCTCTGTCTTTCTTCATTTGTTTTGATTTCGTGTTGAAAACTTTAAACAGTTTGTACATCTCTCGGCCAAACTCGTCAGCCTCAGCTTCAGTTTCTTCAGCTTTCAGCTCAGAGAAAGCACCATCCATCAACTTCTTCTCAGCCTTCTGCCAACTACAAAAAAAGAAAAAAAAAATATGTACATGTACGTTATTTTTAATAAAAATCGCATGCTTTTTCTCTGTTCTCTTACTTCAGTATGGTTGTGAATAATTTCTGATAAGGATCAAGTGATGATCGAATTTGATCAAGCTGAGGGTAGGTGGTTGGTATCCATTTGAAGAGTTCCTCTTCTTTGTTGATCTTGTTGATTTGTGCCTGTATCTCAGTCAGTCTGTTATGTATTTGAGTCACGTCTTTCGAGTAATGTATCACGTTATTGATGTCTGAGAATTCTGATAGTTCTTCTACGCGTTGGTGACACTTTTCTATTTCAATTTGAACCTTCTCTTGTCTTTCTTTCAACTCTTTCTCACCGCGGTTTTTTGATTCTTCAATCATCTAATAAAATTAATAAACAAATAAAATAATAATAATAATAATAATAATAATAATAATAATAGTAATATATGTGGCTAAACTTCTAAAAATTGGCTTGAAAACTGTACATGTTCATGTAGATGTACATGTAGCTTTACATGCTTATACATGTACATGTACTTGGTCTTACTTGTTCATTTTGTTCAAAGATTGGTGCTAGTTTCTGAGGCCATGTCAGTGTAGTATTGTTCAGTTCTCTGTCATCATCAGTAAATGAATAAACTGTCAATAAATAAAGGAGACGCTTCAGCGAGTCCTACAGCAATAAAAAAAGAAACCTCAATTATACATGTACATGTTAATTAATGCACATTATACTACATGTACATGTATGCTCTCTCTTCCTCCATTCTTAAGTACACTGTCTCTAACTGGTCTGCTTTACCTGAACATCATTCCTGAGGTCTACTACTAGTTTAGACTGAGCCTCATTCATGTATTCAATGAGGTCCATTATCTCCCTTGAGTCCTCAGGCACTCTCAGTGCAGTGTCTTTGAATGTCTCATAATCATCAGTGATCCTAATGGAGAGAGAAGAGAGAGAGAGAGAAGGAGAAAAAATAATTTAAATAATAACAGTAACAATAATAGTTCTTCAAAAACAACAGCAAATGAATTACATGTATATTCTAGATTATAGTTATAGTAACAATAATTTAATCTAGATTAGCATGTACATGTACATGTACATGTACATGTAAGTACATGTACATGCACATTGACTTACTTCTTGTTTTTGTTGATATGAAGTTGAGCTAACTGATTGATGATCTTGTTAGCGAATGATTGCGATTGAGATATCATTCCTCTCTTGATGTCATGACACTCCAAGTGGAACATTTGAAATATGACAAGATCATGCAATCCAAATATCTCCTGAGCTAAGCTACTGAACTTCTCAATCTCCTATTGAATTAAAAATTAATAAATAAATAAAATGTACATGTACATGCATGTAATAACAGTACAAGCATAACAGTATTCATACAGTTGATGTGGTTGGAGGAAGTGATGCACCCACGATTGCATGACAAGGTTATGCTGCTTTTTAAAGAAGCATTATAATTCTACATGATTCACTTCTTGATAACTTTATTAAGCCACATCTAAATTGAAAAAATTTTTGAATGGGACTAGATCCCTGCCAATTAAAATCTTATAAACACTAAACTGTCATCATGCAGTTACATACACATTATACACAGATAGAGTGCATACATTGTACAGCCCATACAGTATAAACACAAAAATTTGTGTACATGTATGTATATGTACATGTATACATGCAACTACAAATACAAATATACATGTACAGTGTATATTATAACAAGTTAAATGACCTTCTTATATTCATCTAGTGTGTGGTCTTCACTAAGGAAAGTATTGACCTCTCTCTCTCCTTGACCATTTATCAGAAACTCATACTTACCTAGTGAGTAAAGAGAAGAGATACAAATACATGTAAGAAAAAAACTATGTATACATGTACATGTACATGTACATGTACATGTACATGCAGTGGAAATGTACAGTATACATGCAGTTTACATGTACATGTAAATTTTGTATTATGTACTTATAGTGGCTTGCTCTTACTGTATGATGCTCTGTGCTCCATTGGTCCTTCTAACTCTCTTTTCAAAGCTTCTTTTAACTTGTTAGTGACTGATGATAATATCTGCTCATCAACGTTAGCTGCAATGGAAGGACAAGGGGACGTGCCAGCCAACCAATGCTAAGAGAATAGAAACAATTATTATTATAACATATTAATCTTGTAGTAAATTTGAAAATTATCTCTTAGCTATTTGTCAATGGTACAGGGTCTCAAGGCCAATTTTTGAGTCACTTTAAAAAATCCAATTATGATCGGAATCAGCCCAAACTTGCTACACAAGATAAGAACATGTATATGTATCAGAGAAAATTATAAAAATAAAGAATTCTCTCCTAGTCATTTTTGGCAAAATTTAGCCAAAATCCCTGTACTATAGTACAGGGTCTTTGGCCTGATTTTGGGACAAATTTAAAAATTCATTAAAAAATTCAATTTTCATCGGAATCAGCTCAAACTTGCTACACAGCATAAGAACATTTATATGTATCAGGAAAAATTATAAAAATGAAAATTTCTCTCCTAGTCATTTTAGGCAAAATTTGGCCAAAGTCCCTGTACTATAATACAGAGACTTTGGCTCGATTTTGGAGCAACTTTAAAAAAATCATAAAAAATTCATATTTGATTGGAATCAGCTCAAACTTGCTACACAGCATAAGAACATGTATATGTATCAGGAAAAATTATAAAAATGAAAAATCCTCTCCTAGTCATTTTTGGGGAAATTTAACCAAAATCCCTGTACTATAGTACAGGGACTTTGGCTCAATTTTGGAGCAACTTTAAAAATTTATAACAAATCCAATTTTAATTGGAATGAGCTCAAAATTTCTATACAACATAAGAACACGTATACGCATAGAAAAAAATTATAAAAATAGAAAATTCTTTTCTAATCATTTTTGCCGAAATACCCTGTACCACTACTACAATAAAGCACATGCTATCTTACCTGTATCTGTCCTACTTCTTGCAAAGCCTTTGATATTGTGCTTATAATAAAATCAATTGCAGACTCAAAGTCATTTACACTAGGAAAGAAGAATATAGTATCATCTTCAAGACAGAGCTCTAGTCTAAAGATTGGAAGGTGGGCAGTGTTCGCAGCATCAAATATGCTCACAAAAGAATGGAGTGTATTAGTAAGTAATGACCTGAAATAAGGGAGAGAAAAACAAGGAAAAAAAGAGGAAGATTTTATGTAGAAACATGTACATGTACATATGCACATCAATTAATACTAACCTAATTTGATTGCCAATGAGAGTACTAACAGACTCATAAAATGTCTCTGTTTGTTCTTGTGGCTTGTTGCGTACCAGTTTATCATCGCCACTGAACAATGATATCACTTTACTGTACCAGGAATTCATTAGCTTCTCTTCAGCATGCTGCACATCTAATAGTATCATGTTACGAAAATTCTCAAGCTCCATTGGGCACTTTGACCTTGAAAAAGAAAGGGAGGAGTAAGAACAAAAAGAAAGAATAGAGTTACTGATAATTAATCAAGAAAAAATAAAATTAAGAATAATTATCCTTAAAATAATTATTACCTGATATTAGAATATTCCACTAGATGCTTCACATTCTGTTGTTCCCATAAAGACAACAGTGCAGGCATTACTGGATGCGTTACATGCAGAACTGATGATAGAGTTCTTACAGATGAATCATATCTATCACGCCATGTAGTAGAGAAATCAAGACCCCTAGATTATTGAAAAATAATGAGGTGTCTTAATAATTTCAGAACACATACAAGGGTTCGAGGTAAAGTGGTGGCTCTGGATCCAATCCACTGACTGATGGCTTGACCAATGTCATACGAACTAAAAAAATACATGTAAATATTCGTAAAAATAATTTTGTGCATGCATGCATGGATATAATAGTTACTAGTGGTTTTTCTGATGGTATCTTCATAGCTGCTACTGATTTCACTGTACAACTGAGGCAGGAGTGGTTTAGAGAGAGGGTGAGAGAGATAGCGGGATGAGATATATGAGAGGATGTGTTTCCACATCTCTGGCAGCATTGGAGTAACAGGAGCTGACGAAACACATTTACGAAGGAACTCATAATTTAACTAAAAGTAAAAGGGCCATGAATCACAATAATTTACTGGTAATTGCAAAATTTTAATTGCAAAATCTGCAAATTTGCAGGAAAATAATTCAATTAGCAAATCAATTCATTCAATTCTCTCACCCTTATCTTTCTTTCCTTGCTCATAACAGTATCAGACAGCTCAGGCTCATTTTTCTGCTGTCCTGCTTTCCTTCTATTGAACTGTGCAGTTGATAATAAACTCTTTGTAGCTCTTTCCTCACTAAAATAAATTAAACGATAATAATTAATTTCCCTGCATGCATATTATATACACTTGTAGTTGCAGTTTTGCAACCATCAAGCTTGCATGCTGAGCTAATGTAGTACAATACATTAAGAGTATCTGGCCTGGATATGCACAAGTATATTAATACGTACAGCAGGTTAGATATGGCTGCTTGAACTTTCTTGCTTCTTCTATAATTATAGAGTGAGCTTCCTTCATATCTACCAGTAGCTGTTGGAGTGTTACCAGATCCAGTGAGGAGACTGGCTGGGGCTTGTGGGATGGGAGGGAGCTTAACTAATGCAGGATTCCCTGACGGATTTGTAGCCATTGTCCTAGGGAAAGGAAATGGTTTGAACTGAGGTACAGTATCTGCTTTTCTTTTGTGTTTATTTGCTGACAAACACGAGGATAAACAGTTCGGCGGCCATTTTGTTTCCTAGGACGACAGTTTCTTAGCAACGTCAGTTGCCGGGCAACACTTAATTCATAACTAACCACGCCTTCAATATGGTGCGTATCCTATTTCCGTAAAATTCCGTTTATTCGAAGCATGTTGCTAGGTAACAGTGTCGCTAGGCAACGTGTTTTGATATACAATATGGTGGTTTGAGTTGCCTAGCACGAGATTGTGAAAATGGCTACAGTAGAAGCTTCTGTACCTTCAGCAGAACCTCAGGAAGAAGGAGAAAGCACTGAAGACAAAGTAGAAGGTATAAAGCTGGATTGAAAATTAGTCTTTTACATGCATATACATGTAGTTGTGTTTGCAATTGAGAATTCCAGTGAAGATGTGAAAGATCTTTTCAGTCTCTCAGACTCAGTTCAAAAGTTAAAGGAATACCTTTCTCAGAAATTTGGAAACTCATCGGACACCTTTATCCTATCGCTTGATGGTAATGTACATGTACATGTAGTTTGAAACCATGCGTATAAAAAATACATGTAGTCAGGGACCCATAACTCGGAATTAATTCAAAGCATTAATGACACAATGATAATGAAATTTGGGCATATTTTGGAGCCAATTTATGTCACTTTAATCTTCTCTTTTCTCTCTTTAAAAGGTGAAACACTATCAAACAATGCCACAGTTGATCAGTTTGGTGTTGTGGGTGGATCCTCCATTGAACTCCAAGTAAAGATACTGACTCCATTAGCACTGCCAGTCAGTAAGGAGGAGGAAGAGGAGGAGAAATTAAAGAAAGAGAAAGAGAGAGAGGAAGAAGAGCTAGGGTATGATGAAAGGATATTTACAGTTCAAGTTAGATTAGGTAATGAACGTACATGTATATGTACATGTACATGTGAACATTTACATTATTGAATATTAAGGGAAACTCTCCCAACTCTCTTTCACGTAAACAGTAAACAGGTACTATTATTGTTATTAGTCTGCATCATTTGGTATAGGTAAATGTTTATACTTGTACTGTAATGGAAACAATAATGATTCTTTTCCTATAATGAACCCACGAAGCGTAATGCCCCTGACTTGTTTATGCATAGTGTATGGACATGGTGAAAATATCACTAGGTTTTAAGGCTACATTGAGTACATGCATGAGACATGGAAACTGTAAACTTTAGGTCATCATATTAGATTATGTGTAGATTATGTGTAGATTATGTCATATACTACTTTCTCTTCTCTTGAATAGCTCAAGAGATGAAGGAGTTATTAGTAAAGATGGAGAAGGCAAGGATAAAGAAGCCATTTCTTGGAGGATACAGAGACAAGCAGACAGGACAGGAGTACCATCACGCCAGTGCACAAACACTACCCAGGAGGAAACCAGACACTGGGGTTAGCCCCTTTAATTATAAACATTATTAATGATTGATTATCATTATAGATTGCAATGTTTGAGCGTGACACTCAGACTGTATTCACACGTAATTGCTACCAACAAGTAATGGTGGATGCAGCAACTCAAATGGTAAGGCAATTATTGTACATGTCATTATGAATGTGTTGATATTATCATTATGTCTGTCTAGAACCAGACTGGTTGTTACATTACTAGTGTCACTGATAAAATAAAGATACCTGGACCTTATGAAACTGCTGATGAATATCATGGAAAGATATTGAAAAAGGTGATATACATGTACTTTTATCTATTAACACTTCCCTCTCTTCCTTTATTAGATTATAATACTTCAGAGTCATTGGAGGCGCTGGCTAGCTACTAAATATGTTAATGCAGTGAGAGAAGAGAAACTAATGAGAGAATTATGGGAGAGAGAGGTAAGTAAGGAACCACTTCTAATGGTGTCTACATGTACATGTATGTATAATAATTATACTATTGTGTATAGGAAGCTCTTAGGAAGCAGAGGGAGAGAGAGGCAAGGAGGAAGGCCGAGTTTGAGAGGCGCATGAATCCAAGGACAAAGAAAGACTTTGATCTGCTCTACCATGCACTTGAAAGTAATCCTCAGTCTTATGTACAATCTACAATGTACACATCATCTTAATGTATTA